CACTCCACACACCATACACATACACACACAAACCATACAAATACACTACACACACCATACACATGCACCACACACACACACATACATACACACCATACAACACCCACACACCATACACACACATAGTGTACACACATACCACATACATATACACACACAGTATGCACACACCACACATACATACACACACACATACACACCATAGCCATCAGGAAGTTACAGCTATTTTAACTGGGAACAGCGTGGGTTGTTTTCAGTATCTGACATATTATATTATCTGTGTAGGTGAATAGTCAGCATGGTTAAGCCACTCTTTATGGCTAGGTGCTATTGCCCAGTACAGCCTGATTCAATTTCTCATGACCTGAGGCCATTACCCAACCGCAGTGACAGGCAGAGGCTTGGAGATATCGCTGGTGTGGATCTGGGAAAACTGGCCAGGACCAGCTGGCCAGAGCACTGCAGAGAAGCAGCACATCCAAGATTCATGGATATACTGACCACTATGCCAGCCCAGCACACAGCTTGACTTCTGAGAAGAGATTCTTTCCTGGTGACGCTAAGGAGGCCCAGTGGGGAGTCCCAAACTGTCTCATGCCGCAGTCCCAGCTGCTCAGAAGTCTGAGAAAGGAGATCACTGAACCCAGTAGTTGCAGGTTATTAATAGTGAGTCTCCTGTTGCCAAGAGAGGGAACTGTCATGTGTAGCTATGTGTGGCAGGCTGGAACTGAGACTTACAAGGAAGGAGAAAATTGACTTCTGTGAGGTGTTAGCTGACCTCCACCATGCATGAGCACATGTGTGTACACACACAAAATACAATAAGACAATTATTTTTAAGTAGGTGAAAGGCAACTGAGGGGGACACCTGACATTGGCCTACATATACATGTGAACACACACAAGCACCCAAAACTCACAAGAGAAAAAGACACTAACTGGGTGGGTGGTGGTGGCACATGCCTTTGACAGGCAGATGGATCTCTCTGTATTTGAGGCCAGCCTGACCTACATAGTGGATTCCAGGACAGCCAGAGCCATGTAATAGAGAGACTCTGTCTCAAAAATAAAAAAATGAGAGAAATCAACTCACAAAAGAAGCTTCTTACATCTTTTTGGTTTCTGTCTTCAACTATCTGGGTAGACTAGGCTAGCCTCGTGTTCCTCCTGCCTCTGCCTCTGCCCCAGGGAGTGCTGAGACCACAGACTTACGTGATGTTGGGGATGAAACCCAGGAAGGTACTGTACCCACCTGTCCCATATGTCCTGTTCTCTTTCTTTCCTGTCTCAGCTTTCAGCCTCTTGTTCCTTGTTTTGTATTATCTGTTTAGGTTTTTTATTACTGCATGTGACACGGCATGGTACGAATGTGCAGGTCACAGGAATGAGTTCTCTCTTTTCATGTGGGTCCTCGGGTTTGAACAAAGGTCCTCGGGCTTGGCTGCACACACTAAGCCAACTCACTAGCCACGGTTTTTTCTTTTGCTGGGAGATAGGCATGGAATCTGAGGCCCTTTTAACAAATCCCAAGAGCCTTTGATTCTTCAAAGCTTCTCCGAGGCAGCCTTATGGTTTAGTCCTCCAGTGTCAATAGAGGGGGGAAAAGCCACATTTGGTTGTCTTTACTTCAAATAATTGTTCTAACTACTGGGTCCTACCCCCCAAGCTAAGTAATGTTTCTTTTTTCTAATTAATTAATGAAGAAGGGTGCATGAGGAAGTTAGAGGACAATTTGCTGGAGCTGGTTCTCTCTCCTTCCAGTATGTGGATCTCAGGAATCAAACTCAGGTCTCACCCACTGTGCCAACTCGCCCACTCACCGTCATTAGCACTTCTGGTTGACTTTGCTTTCCTTGGTGAGCACTGTTTATGGACGGATGCGGATAACCATCTAAAACTTGCAACTGTACTTGGGTCAGAAATCTATGTGCCCGTTCTTAGGAGAGCAAACGCTGCAGAAAGTGTGTGTGTGTGTGTGTGTGTGTGTGTGTGGATGGGGGCTTCCCATACTTCTGTTTTCCTTTGAGGGTGAAAAGGAAAGCGTCAGAAGGCGACCCAGGGTGTGGAAGGACGTGGGTGGCCCCTTGAACACTAAGACAGCAACATCTGCAGCTAAGCGTCTGGGAAGCTGGTGAAATTCTGAGGGAGGAACTTGAGGAACTTCCCACTGCTACGGGAGCTTCAGGGGTTAAAGAGCCGATGTCACATCGGCCGTTCCAAGCTCCTCCCCGCGCAGTGAGGTGAAGATTTTTGAAAATCACCCCACTGCAGACTCCTCCCCCGCTTGGAAACCTCGCCCCTAGTGCTGGGAATGACTCTGGCCGCACGCGGGTAGTCACCGCCGACCGAGTGCGGCGTAGATTTGCAGCCGGGACACCGTGGGGCTTGCAACCCTGAGTTCGCAGCAGAGACACCGTGGGGCCCGTGATCCCGAGTTTGCAGCGACAGCGGGAACATTTCGGGGTCTGTGATCTGAGTGGGGACGCGACGCAGAGGCTGAGGATGAGCACCGCGGATCTGATGCTGCGCTGGGCCATCGCCCTGTTCTTGGCTGTAGCTGGAGTTGCAGGTAAGGCTTGCTCCAGGAGCCTGCCCAGGGTCAGGGGGAGATGCCCTGAACTTGGGGAGCCCCAAGTGGTTTTCTTTTGGGACGAGAAATAGAGAAATAGAATCACTCGTGCGAACTTGGGATGATGTCCTTCCCACGTGGCTGGAGAGAGCTGTTTTGGAAATACGGTGCCAGAGTTGCAGGGAGTCAGAGTGGGTTTGGGGGAGACGGGTGTGTGCTCTCCCGAGTCAGCAGTGTTCTTCAGAGATATGTGTGAGGGAGTCCAAAAGGAGGGCTCCCATCATTCGTTTTAAGGACTGGGGAGACCCAGGCCCCGCTGCTCAACTTTGGGGTCGCTAGTCGTTGGTACAGGACTTAGGGGGTCTCCACGGCAGCACTCAAACCGGGCTGCCGCCGCGAGCCCGAAAACTGTACTCTAACCCCACCTCCCACCGCATCCCCGAGCTTCTATTGGGTACAGCCGGAACAGGCGAGCCTCGAGCCACTCCCCTCGCCCAATGGAGGAAGAGGATGAGGTGCAGGGGCGTGGCTTGCTTGAGCCTCCAGGGTGGGGTGGCACTACACATCCAGGCCCGCCGGGTCCTCCTATGTGAGTCTCTGCCTAGTCTCCACTTCCCTGGTCAGATTTTCAGGTGTGCCTCTGGCAACCCAGACCCCGGTAGCCGAGACCATCGGCCGAAGAGGGCCAAAGGACCTGGCAAGGACTCTTGCTGGCCTGGTTTGTCTCCACTCTCTGAATGTTGGAATGGGCTGCCCTGTAAAGTGGACTTTCGTTTTAGGAGAGGTGTTGGAATTTGGACAGGAAGTTAGATGGTGTTATAGTCTCATTCACAATTTCTTTGCAGCACTGGGGATTGAACTCAGAACCTGGGACAAATGCTCCTCCTCTCCTTCACTTTATAGACAGGGTCTCATGTAGCCGAGGCTGGCCTATAAGTCACTATATAGTCTAGAATGACTTTAAGCTCCTAATTCTCCTTACTCAGCTCGAGAGCGCTGGGATGAAAAGCGTGTGCCACCATGCCTGATTTGGAGATACCGTGGATAGAACCTGGGGCCATGCGTGGGATGCAGGATGTTACTGTTTTTCTTGCAGTCAGTCTGGCTGGCACAAGAACATTTTAATTGCTTTTTCCCCCTCAGAACCCGTTTAGGTTGTGACCCCGCAGGAGCCTGGAAGGAGTCCCCTTCAGTTAGCCTTGAGTGGCTATTGACTATACAATCCCTGGGGGTGCTTCCTTGAGACAGCCTGGCCGCTGGGCATCCTGAGGCACACCTTTAATCTTAGCACTGGGAAGGCCGAGGCAGGTGGATCCCTGTGAGTTCCAGAACAGTCAGGACTATACTGTGAACCCCTGACTCACAGACAGAGAGAGGGGTGGGCTGGGGAGGAAAGAGAGAGTGCATGAGAGCTCCAGGTTGAACACTGAGGCAAACACTCAGCCATCCTGTTATAATTGCTGACAAGGCTAGACCAGATATCTGGATTGCTGACCAGGCTAGACCAGATACCCTGCTCACCTTGTATTTCACCCATCATTGCCTTTTATAACAAAAAGAAAAAAAGAATCATTTCCCAAAGTCTCGAGAAAGAGCTGAAGCTCTCCCATCTCACGGGAAGGCCAGAGGCCCTGCACTGGCCTTCCTGACTCTGGCATCCCTGTCACTCTCATGCTCATAGCAATGACGACGACTACGGCTTGCTCTAGGTTAAGCTTCCGTGCTTTGACTGGACGATGTCTGTTGCTCGAGAGCAGATGTGGGGGCTGGGTGATTGCTCAGTTGGTGACACGGCCAGATGTGTGGCAACCTGAAATGACCATGCTGGGAGGATCTCTGGGCTTGAGGGTGAGATCTGGGTGCAGTGAGGAGGAGGAGGAACACTGAGGAAGCCACTCAGCTCGGACACACACACACACACACACACACACACACACGGAGCCAGCAGTCGATGTGAGTGAGGGGTGTCAGATATGCCAGAGGTCTGTCTAACACGAGGAGAGTACAGGTCTGCAAGCACTGTTAGCAGGCCGTGGGCACGTTCGTTTGTCTTTGTCACATTTCTTGCTGAGTAAAACTGGTAAACCTGGATAAGGCTGGATTTTTTTTTCTCTTGTTCTTTTCATTTTTTAATTTTTGGGGAGACAGTGTCTCAGTCTGTAGCCCAGGCTGTCCTGGAATTCACTATGAAGTCCAGGCTGGCCTTGTGGCAGTTCATCTGTGCCAGCTTCTCTCCTCTCTCCTCTCTCTCTCCTCTCTCTCTCTCTCTCCCTCCCTCCCCCCCCCCCTCTCTCTCTCTCCCTTCCTTCCTTCCTTTCTTTCTTTCTGTTTTTTTTTTTTTTTAGTAGGGTCTCACTGTACAGCTCAGGCTAACCCTGCCTCTGACTCCTGAGCTCTCTCTGGGAGCCTCTCTCCTGAGCACCCCTGAGATTACAAAACTGGAGGGCAGTGCCCCTGGCTCTGGCTCTGGTTCTTATTTCCCTGGTTCCAACTGATAAGGCTCTAGCCTCCTCTGCTTGGCTCCCGGGCCATGCTTTTGATGCTCCTCTCCTTTCTGCCGTAATTACAGCATCTGCACCCTCGGGGCATGGGGAGCAAATCAGCTTTGGTTGCTAAGAGTGGAGTTGATCAACCCGATGGGGAAAGCAGGGGTTGGCTGTCCCTAGATGGAACTCATCTTAGACTTGCTGGCAAGGCTGGCGAGCACTTTCTCTCCTGAGCCACCTCGGTGCCTGCCGGAGAACCTTGAAGTAGTAAAACAGATGCTTTGGAGGATTTACTAACAAACCTGCTTAGGCAATGCTGTTACCCACAGTAAAATAGGCACAGCCTGTGCCGTCACTGGGGGTGAGAGCATACTGACCAGGATGGTTAGAAATGTTGATGCGGTCCCTGATGTTGAGGGCTACTGTGAAAACACTTTTGTAAATGTTTGTTCACCAGGATTGACCTCCAATTGGGCTTCGTTCCCATAACAACAGGGGACAGCCCTGACTTAGAACCAGCCATTAGGCCCCTCCCTGCATCAAAAGACATGCCTCTAATGGACAGCGCAAAGGAGGGCTCAGGGTGCCAACTGTCATTAAGTTCTGGCCCACCATTCAGTCTTTATTAGGAGAAGGATAATTTTGGCAGGTGGACAAGATGACCCTGATCGACAGTCTTTAGAAAAGAACACTGTATTTAAAAATAATTCTAGGGGCCGGGCAGTGGTGGCGTACGCCTTTGATCCCAGCACTTGGGAGGCAGAGGCAGGTGGATTTCTGAGTTCGAGGCCAGCCTGGTTTACAGAGTGAGTTCCAGGACAGCCAGGGCTATACAGAGAAACCCTGTCTCAAAAAACCAAAAAAAAAAAAAATAATAATAATAATTCTGGCAATATCTTTGTAACTATCATCTGCCCAAGGGATTAGATCGTCAGTCCCCTGCGTCTGTTTAAATTGCTCAAAGTGTAAACTAGAGTCAAGACCTAAGAGAGATTTAAGGATGACAGTGTGTGTGGAACTTATGAGCCTAAGGTCTACACAAACTTAACATTCTGTTTGAGGCTGGTTCCCTTTTGTGCATTAGCCAGACAATCACTACCTATTAGTAGAGGGTTTTCCCTGCATTAATCTCCACATGGTTACAGTAACTTCTCACTAGGAGGGCTCCCCAGCATGGCCCTCCTTTATGTTTTAGAAGGATCTCCGTATATCACCCAGCTGGCATGGAAGTTACCATGTAGCCCAGGCTGGTCTTGATCTCACTGTAACCCTCCTGCCTCAGCATCTGGAATGCAGGGATTACAGGTGAAAGCTAACACACCTGACTACGGGCTTGCTTTTGTTGGTATGGGTGGAGCCTGAAATCCCCTGTGTGCCAGGCAAGCCTTCCACTGACAGCATTTTAACCTCCTTTATTTTGGTTTATTATCTTTTTGTTTTGTTTTGTTGAGACAGAGATTCTCTGTGTAGTCCTGGCTGTCCTGGAACTCACTTTGTAGACCAGGCTGGCCTGAAACTCATGGAGATCCTCCTGCCTCTGCCTCCCAAGTGCTGGGATTAAAAGTCTGTGCCACCAGTCAAGGCTTATTTTGGTTTCTTTGCATGCCATCTGTCCTCAGTTTGGGAAAGAAAACAGTGGCTGAGTGTTTGGCACACCCCTGTCATTCTATCAGGAGAAAGAGAGAGAGAGAGAGCACTTAGAAAGCACTGACCATCTTATTTGTGCGTGGGAAACAGGACTGAGTAATTCCTTGTAGCTGGCATTGCTACTTTGTGGGTTCTTCTTTCTTCCACCCTCCTCCACCCTTAAAACCCCCTAACACTAGATAGGAGAGAAAAGGGGACAGGGGGAAAGGGGGCAACATTATTCCTAGGCTACTTCCTGCTGATTAGGGGCACCGAGTTCCTTGGGGCAAGTCTGATTCTTGCTGTTAGGATATCTAATTTCTTGTTTCTTCTTTGCTCACTACTTAATGAGTCAACTATGACCGACAGTAACCAATCAACAACCCACCCTGCCTTTCTGGGCCCGAGCAGTCACATGCCCTCTGAAAAGTCTCCAGAACTCCAAATGTCACACAGTCACAGAAACTACCTGGTGCTGGCAAAATCACAGCCCTGCTAGAGCACGAAGCAAATCCTCATCAGCTACTGTGGACAGTCTGAAGCAGCCTCATATCCCACACCTGGGATTAAAATGAAAACATATTCATAGAATATTTCTGTGTTTTTCAAGGAAACCACAACTCCGGAATTGTCACTACCCTTTCCCCTTTTCAGTTTCTGTGGCCTTGTTCATGACTCGTCATTCGTGACGCTCGAGATCTGAGGGCCAAGGCTGCGAGGTGTGTGTTCTTCGAGGTGTGTGTGTGCCGACTGGTCTTTTACTTGATTTTATTTGTCCATCGTCTTGGCTGTCCTGGAACTCACTGTGTAGATCAGGCTGGCCACGAACTCACAGAGATCGCCTGCCTCCCAAGCGTTGCGGTTCAAAGTGTGCACACCACACTTGGCTTGGTTTTACATTTTTACAATGATATCTTTGTTTGTTCTGTGTATGTGTGGGCTTCAGGGAACACCGGGCAGAACAGGTTTCGTCCTTCTGTCGTCAAGCTCAGACAGGTGGTGGCCAGTCCTCTACCCCAGAGCCACTCTGCAGGCCTTCTTTATTTCTTCTGTTTGCTTGAGACAGGGTCTCCCTTGTATAACCAAGGCTGACCTGGAATTTTCCATTAGCCAAGGTTATGCTCAAACTTGTAGAAGACTTCTTGCCTCTGCCAAAGGGTCCCTGGGATAACAGGTGTGCACCCCCAATCATTACTAACTTTTTGTTTGTTTGGTTTTTGTTCTTGAGCCAGGGTCTTGCCATGGAACCCTGGCTGCAGCCAGGTAGTAATCCTCCTGCCTCCAGCGCCTGAGTGACAGGCATGGCAGGCTTGTACCACCTTGCCTGGTTGATGCGGTGCTGGGGGTGTACCCTGGCTTCGTGCCTGCTGGGCAGATGCTCTGCCACCTGAGCCCCACCAGCTTTGGGTGTGGCTGGTATTTCCACACCTACATCCTGATTTGTGTGTCATTCAAGTGAGAGTGTGAATCAGTGACCTGTCACCAAGCTTCGGGCGATGGGGTGACACTCCCTTGCTCTTCTCTGCCACTGCCCCTCTGACCTTCCTTCTGTAACAACCCAGCCACTCCTGGAATTCTCGCGGCCTCGTTCATCACCTTCCACCATCACAGAGAAGCTGATGAGTCATTTCCTTTGCTGCCCAGATGCTGGGTGAGTGAGTCACCTGGTCGGGTCAGCAGCTGGGCCAGAGAGTATTGTAGGCCTGTGAATGGGGAATGGGGTGGTACACGCCTTTAATCCAAATCCTTGAGAGTTCCAGGCCAGCCAGAGTTACTCAGTGCCACACTGTTTAAGGGGGGGAAAAAAACAGAAAGAATTAAAGTGTAGCTAAGCAGGGTGCTGGGACATGAGAGGGGGTCACCGGAAAAGCAGAGGGAACCCCTGGGGTGTGGAATTTCAGTTACTGAAACTTCCGTTTCATGAAGCTGGATGGTGGTGGGTGGCACAAGGGAGGCAGGGGCAGGTGGATTTCTGAGTTCAAGTCCAGTCAGTTGCAGGACAGCCAAAGAGCTACACAAAGAAACTCTGTTTCAGAAGAAAACAAAAGCAGGAAAGGATGCTCCTGCAGAGAATTCTTGCAGAGGGTGGTGCTGGTGCTGGTGGGGATACGGAGGGTGGAGCCCCACCCTCTCAGAGGAAAGGGGAAGCGGGGGTAGAGGGAGGGACTTTGGGAGGAGACACTGGGAGGGGGTAGCATTTGGGATATAAATAAATAGCATTAAGCCACCACCCCACACCTTTAATCCCAGCACTTGGGAGGCAGAGGCAGGTGGATTTCTGAGTTCGAGAGTTCGAGGCTAGCCTGGTCTACAGAGTCAGTTCCAGGACAGCCAGGGCTACACAGAGAAACCCTGTCTTGAAAATAAAAAAAAAAAAAATTAAAAATAATAAAAATTTTAAAAATTGGCCAGGCATGGTGACCCATACATTAATTATTTTTTCAATTGGAAATCATTTTTTTTTCCATGCAGTGTGTTCTGGTTGTGGTTTCCTCTCCCTCATGTCCTCCCAGATCCTGCCTCTCCCCCATGAGTGAGCATATCATTCATTCTCTCTCTCTCTCTCTCTCTCTTTCTCTCTCTCTCTCTTTAGAAACCAAACAGGCAAAAATAAATAATCAAATGAGAATAAAACAAAATGAACAGAAAAAAGAAAAAGAAAGAGCAAAGGAAACATGCATACTCAAGGCACACATACATGCAAAGTCTATTAAAACACATAATTAATTGGAAACCATAAAATACAAGCAAGAGACCAGTGAGATTAAGGGGGGGAAAAGAAGAAAAGCCTAAAGAAAATGGGTAATAAATCTCTCCCAAACCATGGCTGAGTTCCTTTTGTGTTGGCCGTTTACTGCTGTGTGGTTTGTGTGCTCAGTCAGACTCCACTGGAGAAAACTAATTTTTCTTTTGTAAGCAGTTGACAGTTGGAGACAGTGTCTGAGTTAGGGCTGGGGTCTCATGTCCCGTTCCCCTCTCAGGGCTGAGACCCCCTCTGGCTTGGACCTGTGTAGATCCTGTGAGTGTTGTCACGGATGTCTGCGTGTTCACGGGTGTCAGTCCGGTTGTGTCCAGAGGCCTTGCTTTATCAGCCTCCTCCACCCTCTCGCTCTTACAACTGTTCTGGCTCCTTTCATAGGATGGGTTCCCTAAGCCCTGAGGTGAGAGACTTAGTCCTGATTTAGTACTGAATGTTCCAAGGCCAGCAGTTAACAACACAGGAACATACTTTTTCATAGCCAGTAAATACAATAGTTGTGGGTCACCCCAACACAGCTGTGACTCTCTGTGTGTGTTTCCATCTGCGGCAGGAGGAAGCTTCCCTGGTGATGACTGAGCAGGGCACTGATCTATGAATGTAGCAGAATGTCATTAGCTCCATGCCCTTTCTAGTTTCAGGTTCTTAGCCGTGGTAACTGTCAGACACCGGTTCCACCTCATGACGATCTGAGAGCTGTTGGTTACTTGGTACAGTTTCTGTGCCAATGTTGTACCAGTATATCAGGGGATCAGGTGACCTGTACTTTAATCTCAATACCCAGGAGACAGAGGCAGGCAGATCTCTGTGAGACCAAAGCCATCCTGTTCTATATAAAGTTCAAGGCCAGCCAAAGCTACTCGGAGGGACCCCCGTCTCAAAATAAATTTTAAAAATGATTAACAAATTAAATGTGATACTTCTTTTTATACTTTTTATTCAACAGCCCAGATGTCAGTATTAACATCTGACAGATTTCCGCTTTGTGTTTATTTGTTGGTCCTCAGCTGCCCTCTCGGGTGCAGCAGACTTCCCTGGCTATGCTGGGTACATTTGCCATCTCTGTTGCCTTCTCTGGTTAGCTGATGCAGCCATCTTTGCATTCTGCTGTTGACCCACCTTCCTTTCCTTCTGCTCTTGCAGCAGAAGAGTCATGTAGCAGGAAGGAGTTCCAGTGTACAGATGGACAATGCATCGCCAGCAAGTGGGTGTGTGACGGCAGCCCCGAGTGCACAGACGGCTCCGATGAGTCCCCTGAGACATGCAGTAAGTCCCCTTTATTTGTTGATGGTGTAGAAGAACCCATGGCCTTGCACATTCTAGGCAGGGGCCCTTCCATTGAGCCAAGTCCCCAACCCTCACTGGGGCTCTACTGCTGTGCCGAGAGCCAGTGTTCTTGACCAGGTTTGTATCCTGCCAGAGTAGCCCGGGAATGGTAAGTTCAGTCATAAATTTGAAGAAGGCTCAGAGTGACCATACCTAATCCACACATCCAAAATCCAAAGTATTTTGTACACTGTGATGGTGGGTTTGGAAGGTTTCACACCTGACTCACGCTGTGACTTACAGTCACAGCACTAGCCCACTAAAAGTGCTGTATGTAACCTTCTTACGGGGCTGTTGAGATGAGTGAGCTCTGGGTGCTTGTGGCCAACCTTCATGACATGAGTTTGATCCCTGGAACCCATAGGGTAGAAGGCGAGAATGAACTCCTGAGTGTTGTCCTGTGACCACCACATGTGCCATGGCTGCATATACACACACGCACACACATACACTGCGCACGCACACACACTGCGCACGCACACATGCACACACGAGGAAGATGGAACTGGTCTAACCAAATCATATTCCTTTTGAGTGACAGCTCCTCTTTTTCCCTAGTGTCTGTCACCTGTCAATCCAATGAATTCAGCTGCGGAGGCCGTGTCAGCCGATGCATTCCTGACTCCTGGAGATGTGATGGACGGGGAGACTGTGAAAATGACTCAGACGAACAAGGCTGTCGTAAGTGTTGCTCAGACCCCGTGTGTGTGTGTGTGTGTGTGTGTGTGTGTGTACATGCCTGTGTGTGCACACATTTGAGTGTGCACCTGTGTGTGACCATGTGTGTGTGTGTGAGCGTGTGCACGAGTGCCTGTGTATGTGTGCATGTGTACTGGCCCTTCTTACACTAAAGAGAACCCCAGGGACCCTGGGACGTAACAGCCATGAGGCTTTGTCACCTGAGTTCTGGTGTGTGGTTACTCCTATGACTTTAATCCCACCTTGAGAGATGATGCCTCCTCTCAAGACCATCAGAAGCATTTATTGAGGTGGGAAGCCCCAATGGCTGTCGCTAGGCCACGTGTGCAGGCTGTTTCCCTGCCTTAAGTGCCCATGTTGGCCAGGGAGGCTGAACTGTGCTAGGAATCGAATCAGAGCTGATTTACTAGATGCCAAAGTGCTTATCAGCTGTGTGTGATGTCACACCACTTACGTGCAGACCCATTCTTAAGGCCCACAGTGGACACGTGAATATTATCTATGTATAATGTGGGTTTCCCCATACCTACATAGGCTCAATAGAGTGTAATTTATACATTTAGCAAGGTAAGCAATTCACAACGCAACCTAAAGCCCGAAGAAGTGCCTCGACCCCAATGAGGGGCCCTGGTACTGAACTGGCTTGATACTTGACCATAGGAATGAGGCAACCGAGGCCGAGAAGGGTGTGTCGTGGCTTCCTGGGCCCTTGCGTACTACCACCATGGCTCTGCAAGGCTCTGCTAAGTGGGTTGGGTGTCTCTGAAGCACAGGATCCTGTCCGTGAATAGGCTGGTGTGTGGTGGTGTGAGCCATGGCATGACAGGGTACTGTCCTCCTTGTGCATTCCCTTAGCCCCCAAGACGTGCTCCCTGGATGAATTCCACTGCCAGGATGGCAAGTGCATTTCTCAGCAGTTCGTGTGTGATGGAGACCGAGATTGCCTGGACGGCTCTGACGAGGCCCACTGCGAGGCCTCCACTTGTGGCCCTGCCCACTTCCGCTGCAACTCATCAGCGTGCATCCCCAGCCTGTGGGCCTGCGACGCGGATGTGGACTGTGACGATGGCTCGGATGAGTGGCCACAGAACTGCGGGGGCCGAGACACGGCCTCCGAACGGGTCAGCGGCCCCTGCTCCTCCCTCGAGTTCCACTGTGGCAGTAGTGAGTGTATCCATCGCAGCTGGGTCTGTGACGGCACGGCCGACTGCAAGGACAAGTCGGATGAGGAAAACTGCGGTAAGGCCCTGGGGAGGAGGGATGGATGAACGGCTCCCCAGGCCCTGCTTGGGGAGCTTTGGGGCTTAGACTGCCCAGAAAGGAAGTTGATTTGTTTTGGGTGAGGGGTTGGTTGGGTGGGTGGAACACCTGCTGCCAGAGCATGAAGTTCTGAGTTCGAATCTCCAGCAGTACAGCCATACTCAAGCTTGTAACTCCAGTGCCGTGGGATGTGAGACAGGGGCATGTCTGGAGCTGGCTGTCTGCCAGTCTGGTTCCCAGTACATTGAGAGATCCTGGCTCAGGGGGAGAAGGAGGAGTCAAAAGGTACAGGAGGACATACTTGCATGTACACACATACTGCACACATACTGTGTAATAAAATTTTAAAAATTTACCAAAGATAAGGGCTAGGTATGATGGCACACACCTTTAGAAGCAGGTGGATCTCTGTGAGTTGAAGGGCAGCCTAGTCTACATAGTTAATTCTTGGAAAACCAGGGCCTTGTAGAGAGAACCTGTCTCAAAAACCAAAGGAAATTAATTTAAAAAAAAAAAAAAAACAAAAACAAAGGGCTGGAGAGATGGCTCAGTGGTTAAGAGCACTGACTACTCTTCCAGAGGTCCTGAGTTCAATTCCCAGCAACCACATGGTGGCTCACAACCATCTGTGATGGAATCTAATGGCCTCTTCTGTTGTGTCTGAAGACAGCTACGATGTACTCATATACATAAAATAAATTTAAAAAAATCTTAAAAAAAAAATCAACCAAAGATGGGTTAGAAAATATTTTTTCTTTCTTTGGAAGAATGAATTTTTAAGAGAACCAAGTCTGTGGTTCACTTACTAAGTATCTTAGTTTTCTGTTGCTGTGGGCCGTGACCAAGGCAACTTATAGGAGAGAGAGTTTAGTGAGGCTTACAGTTTCAGGGGTGAGTCCATGACCATCATGGCAGCAGACAGCCAGGCGTGGTGCTGTAGCTGAGGGCTTACATCTGACCCACAAGCAGGAGGCAGAGAGAGTGCTAACTGGGAAGGGTGAGAATCCTTTAAAACCTCGAAGCCTGCTCCTAGCTACAATCCTCCTCCAATAAGGCCACACCTCTTAATCCTTCCCGAATAGTTCCACCAACTGGGGGCCAAGTATTTAAACTCGTGAGCTGCTTGGGGGCTGTTCTCATTCAAACCACCACACCACACATGCATGTGTCCCAGGTTCCAATCCCCTATGTGATTTATTTAAAAAACAAAATCATTGGTATACATGACATAGATGTGTGGAAACCTACCCAGAGGTCAGAGGGCAGCTTCCAACAGTGAGCTCTCACCAGCCACTATGAAGAGTCTAGGGACTGAGCTCAGGATTTTGAGCTTGCAGAGCCATCTTGCCAGCCCTCTAACTGTAGCTAAGCAGAGTGGTTTATTGGTGCTTCCTGTGACTGTCATCCTGTCCTCTCCAGCGGTGACCACCTGCCGACCTGATGAATTCCAGTGTGCGGATGGCTCCTGCATTCACGGTAGCCGTCAATGTGACCATGAACATGACTGCAAGGACATGAGTGACGAGCTTGGCTGCGTCAACGGTAACTGTTGTTCCTCACCGGTTCTGGTTCTGTCTTTTCAGTGCCTTGCTGTTTATAAGCATTTCTGTAAAGTTGGGGTACTGCTGGTCTGGGGGTGTTCAGGCCCCCAGGAGGCATATTTTCTTTTTGTTTGTTTGCTTGAATGTTTTTTGAGATAGGGTTTCTCTGTGTAGTCCTGTCTTTCCTGGACTTGCTGTGTAGTCCAGGCTGGCCTTGAACTCACAGAGATCCATCACCCAGGATCAGCTGTGGGTTTTTTGTTTTTTGTTTTGTTTTGTTTTGTTTTGAGAGTTACTTGCCCCCTCTGAAGCTCCTTCCACTTAGCTGATTGCAAAATGGAGTCCCTTGCTTTGGTACTTTGATTTATTTATTTCTGAGACGGGTTCTCATGTAGTCCAGGCTGGTCTCAAACTCCTTATGTAGCTGAGGCTGCCCCACCTCCCAAATGGTGGGATCATGGACGCACGCACACCGCTATGCTCAGTTTATGCTGGAGATCCAATCCAGAGCTTCATGCTTGACACGTGAGCGCTGTAGTCCTTGTGGAAGCCGCTCTGTCCTTGAGACCTTAGTGATATATATTCAATCCAATTCCATGAAAAGAACATTCTAGAGCCGATGAGAGCTGTTTCCTTCCTACTGCCATGAGTGTCCAGAGATCTGAGTGTTCTGAGACCAATCTCACTTCTTCTGACCTGGTGACACTTTCTTTCCACCTCACTGACCTGCAAGTTGGAAAAATCACATAACATAAAATGATGTGGTCTGGGGCCGAGCCATTGGTAGAACGCTTGCCTCGGATGCGCCTGTGTGGTGACAACACCTGTAACCCTAGCGTTTGGGAGGTGCAGGCAGGGGGTCAAGTCCAGCCTTGCTTACACGCTGAATTTGAGAGCAGCTCTCACAAAAGAGAGAGAGAGAGAGAGAGAGAGAGAGAGAAAAGAAAACCTCCTTTTTCTTTTCTTTCTTTCTTTCTTTCTTTCTTTCTTTCTTTCTTTCTTTTTTTTTTTTTTTTGGTTTTTTGAGACAGGGTTTCTCTGTGTAGCTCTGGCTGTCCTGGAACTCACTCTGTAGACCATGCTGACCTCGAACTTAGAAATCCACCTGCCTCTGCCTCCCAAGTGCTGGGATTAAAGGCATGCGCCACCACCGCCCGGCCTCCTTTTTCTTTTTTAAACATTATATTTTTGCTGCTTTTTAAAAAGATTTATTTATTTATTTCATATATATAAGTACACACCGGAAAAAGGCATCAGATCCCATTACAGATGGGTGTGAGCCACCATGTGCGTGCTGGGAATTGAACTCGGGACCTCTGAAAAAGCAGACAGTGCTCTTAACCACTGAGCCATCTCTCTAGCCCCTGGTGTTTGTTCTTTTGTGTTGAACTCAGGGCTTCCCATTGCTAGGATAAGAGTTACTTGTAGTTTTTAACTGCATAGTGCCGTGCTGGGCATGGTGGAACAGGCCCACAATCCCAGCAATCCAGAGCCTGAGGTAGGAGGCACACAGACCTGCAGCCAGCCGGGACCACACTGAGACCTCTACCTAAGAAGCCCAATTCAACCTAAAATTCACGTCTCTACAGCGGTAGCTTAACTCTCTCTCCAAGACTTGTTTGCTCATGCAGAGTCTAAACAAACTCTGTTCCGTTAAACATTAACTTTCTGTCTGCCTGCCTTGAGCTCCCAGCAACCTGTCCCCAGGGGCTCAGCTACTGAGCATGTGTTTATGCACACAAGGCCCTGGGTCTCCTACACAGAGAAACAAACAAATAAACACCACCAGGAAACTCTATACAGCAGGCATGGTGGGACAACTCTGTAATCCCAGTATTTGGGAGCTGAGGCAGGAGGGTCTCCTTAAATTCCAGTGTCTTGAACTACAGTTCAAGGCCAGCAGGCTACAAACTGAGACTCTGGGCAGGGCTACCCCATCAGATGCCCCCTGGCCCTCACTGGGGAGCTGTAGGCAGGGGTTGTACCACTGAGCCACATACTCGAGCTCTGAAGGGTCATTTTAGGCAAACCCTTGCAGCTCAGGCCCTCCTGACTATTCTCCTTGCCTCTCTCAGTGACACAGTGCGATGGCCCCAACAAGTTCAAGTGCCACAGTGGGGAGTGCATCAGCTTGGACAAAGTGTGTGACTCTGCCCGGGACTGCCGTGACTGGTCAGATGAGCCCATCAGGGAATGCAGTGAGTGTTGGGGAGCTGGGCAGAGCGGCGTTTGGGGAGCCAGGCATGGCATCAGCATGTAGTCACCGTGGGGCTGTGAGCCCAGCTAGCACCCCCCACCCCCGGCATTCAAAAGGTTTGCTACACGTCATAGACATGACAGAGCTTTGGCTCCAGGGCAGGACCGGCATGAGGGTGCTGGGAGATGAGGCCCTGGCACGTATATAAATATGTTCTTGGGCTGGAGACGGCTTAGCAATTACGAGCACTAGCTGTTCTCCCAGTGGATTCAAGTTTGGTTCCCAGCACCTAAGTCAGGTGGCTCAGAATTTCCTGTAACCCTAGCTACAGGGGATCCGTCTCCTGGCCTCCACGGCCTCTGAGGACATCTGGATTCATGACTCACATGCAGACACATTCATGCACATGATTAAAAATAATGAAAACGAATTATCTTCAAGGTGTTTTTGCAAAGACAGTGCCATGACGTGCTGTCTCCAGTGGGAAGTGTAAGGCCCTAGAACAGCCACTTTGCTTTTTCCACCCCACACAGAGACCAACGAGTGTTTGGACAACAATGGTGGCTGTTCCCACATCTGCAAGGACCTCAAGATTGGCTCTGAGTGCCTGTGTCCCAGCGGCTTCCGGCTGGTGGACGACCACCAATGTGAAGGTGAGTCTGCAGCACAGCCAGCCACCCAGTGAACCTGTGCCTCAGTTTCCCCATGTGCTCAGTGGGCAGGAGTGCAGGCCCCACTTCTTAGGGCTATTAGGAGAGTTCCAGGGGTGAACACTGAGTACTGGCCTGACTGTTAGGAACTAAGTGGATCACTGGCAGTCCTGCCTTTTGGGGTCCTCATCAAGATCAGGGTTCTGGCTAGAGCGTGGGCTCGGTTGCTGGAACTCTTACCTCACAGGCAGCAAGCTCTGGGCTCTGTCCCAGCACGTCACAAACCTAACTGGTGGCCCACACAGGTAATTTTAACATTTGGGATATGATAGCAATAGGAACAGAAGTTCAAGGTCTTCTGTGTAGCAAGTTCAAGGCCAGCCTGGGCTGTGTGAGATGTCTCAGAAAAAAAAAGAGTTCACATTTGATGTGAAACACCTTTAATCCCAGTGCTTGAGAGACAGAGACGGGCAGATTTTTGAGTTCAAGGCCAGGGTTGTCTCCATAGCGAGTTCACTACCAGGGCTACATACAAAGATCAACCATAAATAAATAACAGAAAAACAACCAAAAATGGAAGAAAATAAAGAAGGACAGGATAGGTAGATGGAAGAGTCCCGCTGCTCACTGGAGGTGAATGGCAGGGTCAGCATCCTGTGAGGGTGGCTTCCCTCAGCCACTGGAGGATACATGTTTCGTTCTCCTGTCACCCTGTAGAAAGGGTTCCTCTCCTAGACAAAACCCTTTCTCTGTCACACACACAGATATTGACGAGTGTCAGGAGCCGGACACCTGCAGCCAGCTCTGTGTGAACCTGGAAGGCAGCTACAAGTGCGAGTGCCGGGCCGGCTTCTACATGGACCCTCACACCAGGGTCTGCAAGGCTGTGGGTGAGTGCTGGGAGGCTGGGAGGGGGTTGGGTGGCTCCTCCTTGGGGCTCAGAACTGTTAAGCCATTCCCTAGTTGAGTATGGCAGCTCTCTAGGATTCTGGCTGGTGGGCAAGCTGTTCATTGGGAACCTGGAGACACCACCTTCTCCCATATCTATCCTTCCTAGAACTCTGTCCTGCCTCACATCCGGACAGGGAGGGAGATGGGGGGAGGTACAAAGTGTGTCCCAAGCCTCTGTTACCTCCCTAGTTACTCTTACTAGAGACATGGGTTTCGGGGACTCAGTAGGCAGAGTTCTGTCTGGCATACATGAAGCCCTGGCTTCAGTTCCCTCACCACCCTGCATGCCTTTCCAGGCTCTATAGGCTATCTGCTCTTCACTAACCGCCATGAGGTACGGAAGATGACCCTGGACCGCAGCGAGTATACCAGCCTGATCTCCAACCTGAAGAATGTGGTGGCCTTGGACACTGAGGTGGCCAACAATAGAATCTATTGGTCTGACTTGTCTCAAAAAAAGATCTACAGGTAAGCTGCAGCCCTGTCACCCTTTTGACCACCTGTCCCCTAGTGAGGCCCAGACCCCAGGCTCTAATGAGATTCCTTTCTTCTGCCTCAGCGCCCTGATGGACCAGGCCCCTAGCTTGGCCTATGACGCCGTCATCAGTGGGGACCTGCATGCCCCTGACGGGCTGGCAGTAGACTGGGTCCATGGCAACATCTACTGGACGGATTCAGTCCTGGGCAGTGTTTCTGTGGCTGACACCAAGGGCGTAAAGCGGAAGACGCTGTTCCAAGAGACAGGGTCCAGACCCAGAGCCATTGTAGTGGACCCTGTGCATGGGGGGTGAGTGTCCTCAGAGCTGAACAAGACGATGAACCAAGGTGGGGGACCCCGAGCTGGGCTCAGGAGAATGTGAGGTGGTTGAGGTGGTCCCCAGCTGCAGGGACGACAGTGAAGTAGAGGCTGGGGGTGTTGGTGAAAGACCAAGGAAGCAGCACAGTGGCTCGGACCTAAAATCCCAGCCCTGGGGAGGTTGAGTTACAGGCTAGCTTGGGTTGCAAACAATCAGAATTGCTGGTTTAGCAAGGGTCCAAGGGTTCTGATGCCTCTGGCCTCATCAGGCATGGCACACAGGTACACACATACATAGACATAATTAAAAATTAGAAGGTTTGGGGGTGGGGCACTGCTGGACATGGTGGCTACACAGAAACAGGGTTTCTCTGTGTAGCCCTGGCTGTCCTGAAACTATCTTTATAGACCAGGCTGGCCTTGAACTCAGAAATCTGCCTGCCTCTGCCTACCAAGAGCTAGGATAAAGGGTGTGAACCACCATTGCCTGGCAAAATAAAACCTTAAAAAGAAACAAAACCAAACCTGACTCAGTGAATAAAGCCTTCAAGGCTGACAACCTGTGTTTAATCCCAGGGACACATACAGTCAAAGGAGAAAACCAAACCCTTCCCCCAATGTTGTATGAGTGCCTACACACATGTGTGCATGCAATGGGTAAATAAATGTTAAATAAGGGTGCTGGGGTGTGGTTCTCTTGGTAGAGTGCTTTTGTAACTGCATGAAGTCCTGGATTCTGCCTCTGAACCACCTAACACATGTGTGGTCATGTGTTCTGGTGACAGAGCTAACATGTCCTGGAAGCCCACTACCTAGTGAGTCGACACTCTGTCACAAACAAACCGTGTCCTAGTCGAGGGAAGTGGCACAGTGGTGGAGTGCCTTCCTAGCATGCAGGAGGCTCTGGGTTCCATCCCCAGTACAAGAAGGAAAGGAACGAACTGGGCTTAGTGGCATACGGCTTTAGATGCTAACCACTTAATTTTGTACCCAAATTTCTAGGACAGGCTTCTAAGGACTTTTCAGGAATCAGTTCTCTCCTTCCTCCATGTAAATTCCAGAGATTGAACTCAGGTTGTCAGGCTTGGCAGCAAGTACCTTTGCTGGCTAAGCCATCTTGCTGGCCCACGGAAGGCATTCCTGAGAGAGAGCGTGTTCTACCATCCACCTATATCACATACATGCACACTACAGTATACAGGATGCCCATGGGGATCAGACAGGCCTATAAAATCTCTCTGCTGACTGGTCAGGGCCCGATACACAGAGCAACTTCTGAACACTATCTGTTGGGAAGCAAACCCCACCCACCGCCTGCTTCCGCCTCATACGTTCTGTCCCTGTACAGCCACACCCGTGTCCTCATAGGAGTAGTTTCATGGTGTCTGCCTGCTTCAGCCATACCTTGCACTTCGAATGCCCCAGCACCTCTGAAAGCCCGGGGGTCACTGAAGTGCATTTCCACGCCAGGCTTAACTCTAGACTTGCAGAGAGGGGCTGACCATCCAGGGTGGCAGCCCTTGACTAGGAGAACCCTGCAGAAGCTGGAGTTGGTGTTGGAGGAAGGGCGGGGCATTGAAGGGAAGGAAGATGTACTGCCATGAAAGCATGAGGCTCTGAGTTCGATCCTCATCCATGGAAGAGATGGGTGTGGTCCTGAATTGAGAACTGTTCAAGCTGACGGTTGTCGACATTAGTGGGAGCCTGCCGTCTGAGAGGCCTCATCTCTCTTCTGTTTGGTCTGTTGTCTTTCCCAGCTTCATGTACTGGACGGATTGGGGAACACCTGCCAAGATCAAGAAAGGGGGTTTGAATGGTGTAGACATCCACTCACTGGTGACCGAGGACATCCAGTGGCCAAATGGCATCACACTAGGTATATCTGAGGGGTGGTCTAGCCTGCTGGGGGTGGGCTCAATGAAGAGGCCAGAGCATATAGCTGAGGATATGTGGTTGGCATTACCCCTTCCTATGCAGCTAGAAGGGTTACTGTGTCAAGGCAGAAGCTACAATGTAGCCTCCTTCAGGTTCATGTGTAGCTCCCCGAGAGCTGCACCTTTTGCCCTAATTTAATGCCCTGAAATTTTTCTGGCATGTTTTGAAACTTTCTGTTTTGAACATTTTTGAATCTCCTAGAACATACTGGAATATTTAGGCAAGTTGATAATCCCATTCTCACCTCTGGCCTCTCTGTGTTTCCGTATCTGCTTGTGTGTGTTAGATCTTCTAAGTGGCCGCCTCTATTGGGTTGATTCCAAACTCCACTGTATCTCCAGCGTTGATGTCAACGGGGGCAATCGGAAAACCATTTTGGAGGATGAGAACCGGCTGGCCCACCCCTTCTCCTTGGCCATCTATGAGGTGAACCCTGGGAATGTGAGGGAGTTTGGTCTTGCCATAGGTTTGTCTTGTCCGTTCGAGCCAAGACTGGGTAAAAGTTCTTGTCTAGAGATCTAGAGAGAAATATTAGAATTACAGCTATTTCATGGAGCTGGTCTGTTTGTTTGTTTGTTTGTTTATGCTAGGAGTAGAACCCAGAGTTCATGAAGAGACTGGGCTTACCAGTAAGCCAGTATAACCTTAGTGAGCTTCAGGTTCAGTTAGAGACTGTCTCAGAAATTAAGGTGGACAGCTGGGCAGTCATGGTGCACACCTTCAATCCAGAACTCTGGGAAGCAGATGCAGGCAGATCTTTGAATTTGAGGCCAGCCTGGTCTGCAGAGCTAGTTCCAGGGCTGTTATCCAAAGAAAATCTGCCTCAAAAAAAGAAAAGAAATTAAGGCGGAAATTGATTGAAAAGACACCTGACATCAACCCGTGGCCTCCACACACATCCCACACAAGTGTGCAAAGCATATGAACACGTGTATACATATACAACACACACAGAGAAAAACGGTTAGGATGAGAGATTTTGTGTCTTTCGCTGCATTTCTACTGCAGCCAGCACTGCTTATGTTTAGAGAACCCCAGAGATTTGAGGGTGGTGGACGGTGGTCTGTGCTGTGCAGTGGCTAACAGGCTCTTCTGTACACACCACCCCTGTAGGACAAAGTGTATTGGACAGATGTCATAAACGAAGCCATTTTCAGTGCCAATCGCCTCACGGGTGCAGATGTGAATTTGATGGCTGAAAACCTCTTGTCCCCGGAGGACATTGTCCTGTTTCACAACATCACACAGCCTAGAGGTAAGCTCTGCCCCTGTCTGTCATTGCCCCAGAACTTTTTAGATTCTTCTGGCTTATTTGAAGATGGGTTCAATGCCCTTCCTGTACCCAATAATAAAAATGTCAGCCATTGCTCTAGAATTTTTCTAGTCTCTCCCAGTCATCAGATGTTATCACTTTATTCTCTATGACATCTCTCTTCTTCCTCCCAGGGGTGAACTGGTGTGAGATATCAGCCCTCCCCAATGGTGGTTGCCAGTACCTGTGCCTGCCTGCCCCACAGATAAGTGCCCACTCACCCAAATTCACCTGTGCCTGCCCAGATGGCATGCTGCTGGCCAAGGACATGAGGAGCTGCCTCACAGGTAGGGGCACAAGTCCGCAGAGGTGTAGCCATGAGCCTGCAGAGGCTGATCAGACATCCAACTAACTGTCTGGGGACTCACGAATGACGTTCTCTGTCTGTCTCAAATGAAAGTACACTTAGGGGTCTCCTTTTCTCTAAGCTCAGTGTGGAAGTAGTCTGACTTCAGACCAGGGTATCAAGTAAGAAGACCCCTTTTTGCTGATGTCATCCGAGAAAGGCTCAGTTTGGAATTGTCTCTGGTTTCTGTTGCTAAAACAGATTGCCTGAGACTGGTTAATTTATAAAGCATAGTTAATGTGGCTTCTGGTTTTGGATACGAGAGGTCTCAGACTCAAAAGTTCTCATTTTATTTATTCATTTATTTAAAGGACAATCTTTTTTTTTTTTTTTTTGGTAGGAGGGCAAGTACCACAGTATATGTGTGTGGGGGGGAGGGTGTCAGAGGGCAACTTGTAGAAGTCAGTTCTTACCGGGCGGAGGTGGCGCACGCCTTTAATCCCAGCACTTGGGAGGCAGAGACAGGCGGATTTCTGAGTTCGAGGCCAGCCTGGTCTACAGAGTGAGTTCCAGGACAGCCAGGGCTATACAGAGAAACCCTGTCTTGAAAAACCAAAAAAAAAAAAGATCTTCCTCAGGCTACATAGTATTTGAGGCCAGCCTGGGCTACATGAGACCCTGCCTCAGAAAGACAAGAGAGGGCCTGAGTTTGATCCTTAGAACCCACATGACAGAGGGAAAGAACTGACTTCTTCTTTTTTTTTTTTTTTTTTTGGTTTTTCGAGACAGGGTTTCTCTGTATAGCCCTGGCTGTCCTCGAACTTGCTCTGTAGACCAGGCTGGCTTCGAACTCAAGAGATCCTCTGAAGTTCTGGGACTAAAGGAGTGTGCCAACACTGCCCAGTGCACCTCATTCACTCTTAATCACCCCTGTAAGGTTTCACTGCCAAGCATCATACCCTACACTGAGACAGCTCTGTGAATAAAGGTGCTTCCCTACACTGATATCTTAGAACCCACTTGGTAGAAGGAGAGAACTGACTACTAGGCTGTGTTCTGACTGCCACGTGACCTTAAATCCCAGCACTCAGGAGGCAGAGGCAGGCAGATCTCTCTGAGTTTGAGGCCAGCCTGGACTATATTGTGAGTTCCAGGACAGCCAGAGCTGTCCACGATGTGACCGTGTCTCAAAAACAAACAAACAAACAAAGTTAAATAAAATAAAATCTATCATCAGTAAGAATTTGGTGGTTGGGTTTCCAATCTGTGGATTTTTGGGGTCATTCTCGCCATCTCAGGGACCAAAATGTACTCAACATTTGCAGATCAGATCTATGGTAAGAACAAGATAGCCAATACTCTGGAAACTGAGGCAGAGGGATCACAAGTTTGAGGTCCTCCTGGAATAATCCTCAGGAACAGTGTCACCAGCTACTTACCCACTTCTTTTGCTCAATTTCTGATGCTGTGGAACTTGGTGACCTGCGTTCCACCCCAAGCAGAGGTGTCAGTGGCACCCTGGCCCCTGGCACTCAGGACATGTTTATTGCCCCATCAGAAGTCAACGCTGTACTGACCACCCAGGGGACATCTGCCATTGGGTCTGCGGTCACCGCATCAGCTGCTGGGCTGCCAAAACACAAGGAGGGTCCCTCAGCTACCAGCATTTCTGGGAAGCCTGTGGACACCCCAGGGCACAGCACAGTGGAGTCGGTGACAATGTCCCACCAAGGTAATGGCCAGGCCCACCCTTCATTTCATAAGTACTACATTTTTTAAAATTACAGTGATGTATTTAGTGAGGCTGGGGAATTGGCCACTATGCCTGTGGGTCAAAGCAGCTTGTGGCAGTCTATTCTGTCATTCTTCCATGTGGGTCTTGGGATCAAACTCAGGTTAGCAAGCTTGGCAGCAAGCGCCTTTACTCACTAAGCCATCTTGCTGGTCTCACTGTGTTAAGTGTCTTAAGTTTTTGTGCAAATGTCTGGCATCTCTGGGGATCCTGGGGATACTGTCTGTCCCCTGTGGACTCTGGAGGACAGCTGCCACATGACTTTGTAGGAATCTTGGTAACAGCCTCAGGTTTCCCTGAACTTTAACAGGGTGACAGACATGTCAGGCACTCTACTTGTGTGACATGTCCTGGCACCTCCCCTCTCTGATGTCTCTCTTCTGCTGACGTCAGCTCCCTCACCTTATCATTTTCCTTACTGCAGTCCAGGGTGACATGGCTGGCAGAGGGGACGAGGAGCAGCCGCACGGCGTGGGGTTCTTGTCCATCTTCCTCCCCATTGGTAAGTGTTGGCTGCGATGCTGACATTGTGGGGCTCCTAAGACTCCATGCTTAGCCAACTGGGCCACGTCACCGTTCTGACCCCAAATGGAATACCCCTGCCTGAGGGATGCCCCTGTCTGCCTCAATCACTGCCCCTTCTCATTCATTACGAATAAGATTGAGGGGCTGGAGAGGTGGCTCAGTGGTTAAGAGCACTGACTGCTCTTCCAGAGGTCCTGAGTTCAATTCCCAGCAACCACATGGTGGCTCACTACCATCTGTAATGGGACCCGATGCCCTCTTCTGGTCTGTCCGAAGGTAGTGACAATATATTCACATACATGAAATAAATACATAAATAAATAAATCTTTTTTAAAAAAAAAGATTGCGTGCCTCTGGTGGTAGAGGTACAGAACTTAATCCTACTGGCAGAACTCTGAGTTTTTTTTAAGGCCAGCCTGGTCTACATACAGACTTCTAGACCAGCAAAGGGGGTAGGGAGTAGACAGTGGGTTTTTGTCTCAAAAAAAAATGATTGTGATTATGTGTGAAAATAAAAATCATAGTGGTGTCCGGGCAGTGGTGGCGCACGCCTATAATCCCAGCACTTGGGAGGCAGAGGCAGGCAGATTTCTGAGTTCGAGGCCAGCCTGGTCTACAGAGTGAGTTCCAGGACCGCCAGGGCTACACAGAGAAACCCTGTCTCGAAAAACCTAAAAAAAAATGGTTCATGCCTTAAATCTCAGCGCTCAAGAGGCAGAGACAAGAGTTTGAGGCCAGTCTGGTCTACAGAGTAAGTTTCAGGGCAGCCAGTGAGACCTTGTCTCAAAAAATAAAACAAACAGAGCAAAGTTGACAGAGAATCTCAAAAGGGTCAGGCTATGGAGCCCAGGCTGGTTTAGAAGTCAGTATCCTCCTGCCTCATCCCCTGAGGTGCTAGGTGCCCAGGTGAGTGCTATACTGCCCCCATCCCCTTGGTTTTTTTTTCTTTGTGTGGTAGGTGAGTATAATTTTACATTAGGAAAATATTGCTGTCACATAAAAGGGCCAGGATCTTGGGCACCCCCCTGACCAATCCCCCTCTCCCCACAGCACTGGTCGCCCTCCTTGTCTTTGGGGCCATCCTACTGTGGAGGCACTGGCGGCTGAGAAACATCAACAGCATTAACTTTGACAACCCAGTCTACCAGAAGACCACAGAGGACGAACTCCACATTTGCCGAAGCCAGGATGGCTATACCTACCCCTCAGTGAGTGTGCACTTTTGTGGGAGAGAGGAGGCATCGAACAAACTGAAGGACAGAAGTTAGGTGTGGTGGAAGGGAAGCCCAAGCCAGGGGCATGCATAGCTCAGTGGTAGAACCTTCCTAGAACTCCCCAGTGAAGGCTTAGGGTATGATCACATTAGCAGTAGCATGCTAGAGTCCATTCTCCATCCTCTGTGTCGCCATGGAACGGGAGGAGGTCTCTGGTGGTTGAACAGTATATAGAGGAAAGATTTCAAATCGTGGTGAGACTGGGCGTAATGTGTCTAAGAAGCATGAGGGAAGGCTGGAGAGATGGCTCTGTGGTTAAGAACACTGGCTGTTCTTCCAGAGGACCTGGGTTCAATTCCCAGCACCCACATGGAGGCTCACAATCGTCTGTAACTCCAGTTCCAGAAGATCTGATACCTTCTGGCCTTCACAGGCAGCAGGCACACATGTGACTTTAATGCAGACAAAACACACACACACACACACACACACACACACACGAGAAAATTAAAAAGCAGTGTGGAGGAGATACATGTGGCAAGATCAGAGAGCCTGGAAGTGAGAGAAGAGGGCATTGTGAGCCTCAGGCAAGCTCTTCACAAGAGGATTTATCCAGTCTTAGGTGTTCTGGCCGCCTCTGGTGGCTGTGCAGGGGACAGAAGGGATCCCGAGGAAGGAGGGGGTGGATTCCGGCCATGTGTTTTCCTGTTCGCCTGATTGTTTCCTGTGTTTCCGGTTTGCTGACAGAGACAGATGGTCAGCATGGAGGATGATGTGGCATGAACAGCTGTGAGAGCCATCTCCTTCCGGGACCCGTTGGCAGGCACGGGTAGGCAGGAAAGACGCTTTCTCCACACCTCCCCACCCAGCCCTCGCCCTGCCACCTCAGTGGGCTCTGTGTTGCTCAAAGCAAGATAAGAGCAAAGCTGGGCTGGGATTAAGCTCAGTGGCCTGTCTGCCCCAGGTTCTGTTTTATATATTTATTGTCTGGGGACAGAAAAAGCTGCTGGCTGTACTGGAGATGGGAGTTCTGCCTGGGATTTTTTGTTGTCTTTCTTTCCTTGGAAGAGGCTGCCCCAGAAGCTTCTGAATTCTACTTTTTTCAACACTAACGCCGAGGAGGAAGAGACCCATCCAGGTAGAGAGAAGCCTGTTGTTCTGAACATGAGACAGCAGGTACTACTGAGAAGGTCCTAGGTACCATGGCCAATCCCTAAACTCAGGACTACCTGCATTGACCTTTACCCCGAGAGCCTTCCCGCCTGACTCTGCCATCCCCATCAGAAGCCAGGAAAGTGACTTTTGACATTCAGTACTGAGCTTGCTGGATCTTGGGGCCAGCAGCTGCCAATGACTGATGCCTGCTCATGCCTTTGCCAAAACTTCACCTGTTCCTGGAGGGACAAGCCTGAGTCGCCATTCCCTCCTAATATTTATGAAGTGCCTGAGACGTCTGGTTGCCTTGCTCAGGAATCCTGGCCTGTGCTGTCTAAGCACCCTGCTGCTCAGGGGTGGCCACGAAGACCTCCGTCCCGTGCCCAGCCCCAGTTTTCTGTGTGAGGCTTGCACTTCTCTCTGCGCACTTTTCCCGTTCCGGGTTGGGCACCCACGTGGTCCACGTTTGTACTCTTAGGTTGCACTGTTTGGTGGTGTGTTGGATGGACCCTCAGGCCAGAAGTGGCCCTGAATCACTCACTACAGAAGATGATTGCCAGGCTCCGAGCAGCCTTCCATTGCGGCCTTCAGTACTGGGTGGAACTCAGGGCCTCTGTTTTGTTTTGTTTGTTTGTTTACTTTAAACCTCTGCCAGGTAGTTTCTGATTCTGCACAACATTTGTTCAGCTCCTCTGGTATCAATGACTGAACATGTGTTTCTCACAGAGCCTTCCAGCCTGGGCTACACAATAAGACACTGATTCAGAATGGAAAAATGGGAGAGGGGGGTGTGGGGAGGGATACATGTGTGGTTTTTCAGCCCTTAATCAGCCGGCCAGATATGGTGGCACTTGGCTTTAATCCTATGACTTTATAGGCTGAGGCAGGCACGTCTGAGGTCCAAGCCAGCCTGGGCTACCTAAAAACCAAAAGAAATCCCATAACCCAGGCTATTTGGGGTTACTTGGAAGAATACTTAGAAATTGCCACAGATTTGTCACACAGGTAACCTAAGACAGTGGCAGCCTTGCTTGGATTCCTGGGTTGCTCCACCTGTCTGCTGGACATGAGGCCGTACTGCCCAGCCCACTAAGACACTTGTAAAGGAGCTCTTCATGGTGCCAGTGGCACCTGGCTCAGTTTTCATTCTGTATATCCAAGGATATCACGCATATGTATTAAATCTATTTATTTTTGCAAACCCTGATTGCTGCACTTGTTGGTGACATTCCTCCAGGTTAGGCTGGGGTGATAGATACTCTGGGATGCTCTGTGTACAAAGATTATTTGAATGGACTGATCTCAGGCCTATCCTGTATGTTGCTTTGAGCAGGTGGGAATTGCTTTGAAACCCTTGTTCAGATAGATGTTTTTATAGGCTGAAAATGACTTACTGTGATGGATTAAATTCTTTTTTGGGAACTTTGTCATTATGTGTGTACGAATGTGAGGTGTTTATGTGTGTGTGAGGTGTGGGGTTCAGAGGAGGCGTCTGGAGGCTTGGAGGACAGGTATGTGAAGACACTTCTCCACATTCACCCAGGCTCAGGGACTGAACACTTTTATTCATGTGTGTAAGCATATGTACACATACATATGCAGGTCACGCACCTCTCTGTGTGTGGAGGTGTCCTGAAACTCCCAACTATTCCTTTGAGGCAGGGTCTTCCCCTGAACCTGGGCCTCCCTCAGCTGTGTCTAATGCCAATACCGTCCAGTGTGTCTCTGCTCTGCTCAGAGTTGGGGTGACAAATGTTCAGGGAAGCCCCATCTTGCTGAGCGGGTGCTGGTGTGCAGCGTGCCCCTGGTTGCAGAGCAAGCATCCTTAGCTGCTGAGCCTGTCATTTAGTCCACGCTGCCGGCTTTCTGTTCCAGTTGTGTGTCTTTGGTAGTTTTTGAGCCAGGATCTCACAATGTAGCTCATGTTCGGTTTCAGACCCAGGACAAGTGGCAGTGGTGCCTATTTTACAGACCAAAGCAGACCTGGCTTCCAGGTTCTCCCAGGATCCTGCAGTCCCTACCTGTTACAAGGCCCTGTAGGTATACCCCACAGTCTACCCTGAGCTTTCCAGCCCAAGGCTGGGCTTCCTCTCCCCAGAGGCTCTTTAATATATTCTAGACATTTTGGTTCTGTCTCCTCTGATTATGCCCTTTCTTTCTCTGCCCCACCTCCTGCCTTTCTGTCTGCACAGAGACTGACCTCCTCCTGGGACATCACTGAACCCGCCTGAGAACAGCATCTAACAAACCTGCCATTATAAACTTTAGTTAGGCTTTAGGCTTGAATTGGCTAATTTCATCAGAAGAGAAAACCCAGACTAAACTCACTGCCTTCCCAGTGCTAGTGTTGAAGATGTGTTTCTCACCATCTATCTTAGTATAGAGTATCTCTCACATCCATGAGGGGTGATGAAGGTGAGCACATTAACCAAAAAGCAAATCATAATGTCTTCATTTTGACATTTTCATTACACATATGTATTTTGATTATATTCACCAAACACACACACACACTCTCTCGAAAGTGTCCACCTCATCCCTTCCTGCCCCCACTAACCCCTCCCTCTTCCTAACCAGCCCCCCTCTACCCTCCTATCTAGTTTCTTCCTTGGTGATCCAGTGAACTCCATGGCTCCTCAGAGCTGTGCGCTCCTTAACTGTGTGAACTCTGGAATTTACAGGATCTGCCAGCTTCTGCCTCCTGAGTGCTGAGATTATGGGCCACTATGCCTGGCTGAAATTCAACGTTTTAAAAGAAAAAAAATTTGAAAAATAAATGGGAACCATAAGGCCACCCAGAGATAAGCGACTGAAGGCCTATCTCTAGGATTAGGAGCCCTGGGAGAAGGGCCCAGAAGCTGGGAGAGGGGGAAGGGGAGTCCTGGGACGGTAGAGAGCCTTGGGAGTCTGAGGGGTTATGAGGAAGCCAGTGTCGAGTGTCGGCCTCTGCCTCCCAAGTGCTGAGATTAAAGGCATGCGGCACCACTGCCTGGCTCAGTGTTGTGTTTCATAAAAAGATAGAGAAAAGGGAACATGTTTGGAGGAGGCGAGGTGTGGTGTGGGGAAGGGGATGCCCCTGGGTGCTTGTGCTGAGGCACCCCTCCCCAGAGGGACCAGCCACACGATGGTATAGAATAGTTTATTCAGGGCATGGGAAGGGGAGTTAAGAGAGAGGGGTGGGGGAAAAGAAAGAGAAGTAGAGGCCGACCATGAGCACATGGAGAGAGAGAGAGGGGAAGGGAATGGGAAGAGAGGGGGAAGAGGGCAAGAAGAGAGAGCAAGAGAGCAAAGGAGGGGGCAAGCAGCCCTTTTTTATAGTGAGTCCCCCTCACCTGGCTATTGCCAGGTAACTGTGGGGCGGAGCCTAGGCTAAATGCCAACACCCGGAAGGAGCTGCTTCAAGGAAACGTTAGGGAATCTTGCTGGAGCAGACTGCAGGAGGAAAAGGACCTCTCCTCATCTCCCACCCGAGTCCCATTGTTGAGACCACTAAGAGAAACTCTGGGAAAGAATCTGGGAAATGAAACAGCAATGGAGACACACTAGACTAGCAACCTGGCTCAGACCCTGGCTCTGTGGTAGTTTTCCGTGGGACCCTGTGCATTTCAGAGCTTCAGGTTAGCCCAGTAATCCCACCTTCTGCCAGATTGTGGTAGGACCTCTGCCTGGGCCTGTCATCTCCTCCGCTTCCACAGGGTGGCACATCCGTCCTTCCTTCTGCCCTTTGTTTGGGGCAAGAGCCAAACCGCCTCCGGGAGAGAAAGCTGAGAAGCAGCCTGGAAAGCCTCTGACTGCACAGGCCTTCAAGGACTGCTTCACTGAGTCATGTTGCTGGCATGTGTGGCAAGCAGCATGATGGAGCTTACACAGCCTGGGACTTAAAAGACTGGAGAGCAGGTGTGGGGCTCCCACGGGCATCGTGCATGGAAGGTGATGGGCTGATTTTTTTTCTTCCCAAGACAGGGTTTCTCTGTGTGGCTCTGGCTGTTGTAAAACTTGCTCTGTAGACCAAGCAGGGTTTGAACTGGAGATCTGCCTACCTCTGCCTCCAGAGTGTGGGATCAAACTCGAGTGCCACCACCATTGGTGACAAGAGTTTCTGATCCTTGGCTTCAGCTTTTTGTTTTCAAAGCCAAGTGTGCTGATTCATACCTGTCATCCTACCACTGGGGAGATGGAGGCAGGAAGAACAGGAGTTCGGGGTTGTCCTCCACTACATAGTGAGTTTCAGACCAATCTGGGGCCCATGACTGTCTCAGAAACAAACACTTTACTTACCAATATGCACTGAAGGGCTGGTGTTTAACTCACTGTACAGGGTGCCTACCTAACAAGGGGAATGGAAGGCACTTGGGTCAGCGTTCCCTTTATCTGCTTTCCTGTCTTCTTTGCCTGCAGGTCTCTGGGCTCAGCATGGCAATCAGTAAAAGACATGGATGTGTACCCCAGTGTGTGTAGTATCTGACCCAGGGTGGGCAAGAGATGGTAGTCTTGCCTGTCTTATCTCTGTGAACTCAGTTCTGTCCAAGACAAGAATGCCAGGCTGCAGCTGATTTCTGACACACGGACTGTTGCTCCCCGCTGAGCACCAGGCTCCAGGCTGTGGTCCCTTCCAACTCATAGTATCTCAGACCACAGCTGTCTGTGGTGAGCCAGCTTGGAGCCCCAGCCTGCAGGAGGGAGGCAGTGGAAGGGGGTGCTCTACTCACTCTGCAGCCAGCATTCCCTGAGCTGCCCCACCTCCCCACTGTGGTTTTCTGAGATTAAGTTCTCAGGAAAAATCACCTCCAGTCAGCCTGCCTGGGGAAAGTTTTTTTTTTTTTTTTTTTCCCCAGTGTCTTGTCTGACAACCCTGCTCGAAGCTGCTTCTTGCCCTGGAGAGGCTCTCTCCTTGCCTTGACCCTCCCTTTAGCCTGGCTGTCTTAGGGAGTGTGTGGGAGAAACTTGGGGCTTAATTAGTTCAGTCTCTTACTCAGACAAGCCACTGGTGATCTGGAAAATCTTACCGCTATGCTGTGGCCTGCAGGCCCAGACTGAACAAGGTGCCTTCTGAGGTTGCTTGGTGGCAGTCCTTAACCTTCTCCCAGCTTAGATGCCTTATTCTGTGTCACCATCTCTACCCTCCCACCCTTGTCCCCTGTGCTCTAAGGACCCCTCCCTCGCACAGCCTTTATCCCTTCACTTCCTTACCGCCAGGTGTGGTGACCTCCTTCCTAGCAGATTCAAGGTCTCCCACCACCGCCCCCACCCAGGAGGGAGCGCAGACACCTACCAGGTGTGAAACCTGAGACAAATCTCCAGCCTAGCTTTAGTTTCATTTTCCAGATAATGTGCAGCCAAGCATACTTTGATAGCTCCACTAACAAGTATGGCTGCTACAGAACCACCAGGCAGGATATTCAGCCAGGGGGACTGGGCTGGACTGTGGCTCAGAGGGGGGTAAGGGCACTTGCCAGACACAAACCTGGTGATCAGAGTTTGATCCTGGAATCCTTGTAAAGGTGAGAAAACGGACCCTCCACAGGCTTGCATGCACCCTGTGGCCGGCACTTACCTCTCTCCATGCAGACACAGTAAAAAGGGCCCTATTAGGAGGTCCTGAGACCTAGGTGAGAATAGCCCCAACAGAGGTCACAGGCGGAGGTGAGTCACCATTAGGCTTCAGTCCCTAAGTGTGGTCCAAACTGACAACAGATCCTCTGTCCCCCACACCAGCCCAGCTCTTGAGTCATGAGGAGACAGAGCCTTCAAATCTGGCTGCCCTGGCCCCTCCTGCTCACTTCCTAGGCCTACGCAGTCTTCCTGCTTCGTGAACCTGCCTAGTGCAAACAGCTCTAACCACAGCTAACGCCAGGCAGACAGAGAGGGAGAAAGACTGGGGAAAGGGCCGGCTACCCGTCAGGTGCTCTCACCAGGGTCCTGACAAACCACCTGGTGACACCTCAGAGGAAGACACTAAGTGTGCCTCAGGGGGCACCTAGTTGTAGGAGCCACTGCCCATTGGTGGCAGTAGAGCACAGGTAAATGGGTCAACACCTGGACTTCATATAACGTCTAGGGACTTAAGAGACAGGGCCAGCCAGGCAGTGGTGGCGCATGCCTTTAATCCCAGCACTTGGGAGGCAGAGGCAGGTGGATTTCTGAGTTTGAGGTCAACCTGGTCTACAGAGTGAGTTCCAGGACAGCCAGGGCTATACAGAGAAACCTTGTCTCAAAACAAAACAAAACAAAACAAAAAAACAAAACAAAAAACAAAAAAAAATGAAAGATGTATTTTCTGAGTGTTTTGCTTGCATGTATGTCTGTGCACAATGTGTATGCCCAGTACCCAATGAAGTCAGAAGGCATCCAATCCCCTGAACTACAGTTAAAGACATTTAACTCTATGGGTGGTGGGAATTGAACACAGATCCCCTGGAAGAGCAGCAGGTGCTGTTTAGGTAAGGGCAAATATAGGCTCTAGAGTCCTAAGAGGCCACAGGCCATCAGACTTGGTGGTGAACACGTTTACCCATGAGCCATCTCCCTAGCCCTGTAGCTTGGCTATTTGGCAGCCCTGAACCAACCGCATGGCTACTTTCTTCACCAGGCACCAGGTCTGCAGGTCAGCATGTTCAGCCAGAGGAACGGAAGCCTAGGCTGAGTGAGTGCTCTTTCCTGCACCCTGTCTCACACTGGTATGAAAAGACAAGTTCACATCAGTGACTCAGCAGGCAGTGTGCACCAATGCTAACCCTGCATATGAGCTGTGTGTGAGCGTCCCCCAGGGCTCAGACACTTCCTGTTGTCAGGACACTACTGGAATCCAGTGAGGTCAGGGATGGTGTCCCCAAAAGCTAAGACATCATACAGCTGTCAGCTAGATGAGGTGGAGTGACCTGGCTCTGGATGTGGCTCAGGAGCTGAGCACAACCTGGGAATCTTCCAGTGATAAGCTTGGCATCAGGACCTCAGAAAAAGAGGGAGGGTGGGCTGAAATGGCTGCTAGCAAACTGCTTACAATTGAAGCTGCAGGACCTGAGGTCAAACCTTAAAATGTGGGTAACTTGTGGGGGGAGGTGGAGAAAGCACATCCTTGGAGTTTAAACCCTGCCTCAAAAAAAAAAAAAAAAAAAAAGGTGCCAGCGGATTTCTGAGTTTGAGGCCAGCTCGGTCTAGAGTGAGTTCCAGGACAGCCAGGGCTACACAGAGAAACCCTGTCTCGGGGAAAAAAAAAAAAAAAAAGGTGTGGGGTGTGGAGGAGCTGGAGAGCTGTTAAGAGCACTGGCTGCTCTGACAGAGTTCGGTTTCCAGTACCCACATGGCAGCTCACAACAATCTGTAGCTTCAGTTCCAGAGCATCAGACAACTCTGGCCCCCCCAGGCACCAAGCATACTCATGTACATACCCACACATAAGAACCAACTCCAGCAAGCTGTTACACACACACGCATTTAAAAATTGTAATCAAGGGGATGGAGAGACAGCTCAACAATTAAAAGCACTGGCTGCTGTTGGAGAAGACCCAGGTTTGATTCCCAGCATCCACATGGCAACTCACAACCACCCATAACTCCAGTTTCAGGGGATCTGAGGCCCTCTTCTGACCTCTACTGGAACACATAGCTAAAGACATACATGCAGGCAAAACATTCATACAGTAAAAATAGTGATTTTTTTAATGTAATAAGAAAAAAAAAAAAAAGTCCAGGCCAGCCTGGGTGCCATAAGCCACTGTCTCAAAGCGAGTAGATAAATCAGTGAAATCATTTACATAGAGTCATTTAATTTTAGAGCAAGCGCCTTCTTGGGCCCCCCAGCCCCAATTCTATGCAAGGTAAGAGGTCGGGGCTCTGGCTACCACGTGGTGTCCACCAGGCTCCAGAGGTAGTCACTGATGAACTTCTGTGAGAGCTGAGCACTGTCCAAGTGGACAGGCTGGGACACAGCGGGGCCGTGGTGAACTGAGGGCAAGATGAAAGGAAAGTACTCCCACATCCAGTCACTAACCTTCAACTGTGGTAACTCCTCCTGTCTCAGCTTCCCAAGTGCTGGGAGGCCACCAGGCTAATTTCTTTTTATGTTTATTTCTGAGGGTGTGTGAGTACGAACATGCCAGTGTCCCTGTGGACTCAAATGACAACGTCGAGCTGTCCTCCACCAGGAGGTCCCAGGAATTGAACTCCAGTCATCAGGCTCAGTGGCATGTTACCCTACTCACTGATCCATCCAGCTAGCTCCCTCGTTTCTTTTTAATTAAAAATGATATATTTACTGGATGTGATGGCATACACCTACAGTCCTAGCACTTGAGAGACAGAAACAGGAGGTTCACCAAGGATTTGTGGCTGGTCTGAAGAATATGTAGGTTCCAGGTCACCCATATGCTGAGCAAATGTTGTACCTCCTACATTTATATCTTCTGTCTAAACGTCCCCAAAAGCTGAATACTATTCTAGCACACAGATAAACTGTGTTCCCTTCACCCATCATCTGTAGAGACACTGTCTGCATTTGGCTGTGGAGAATGACACCCCATGAGCATAATGCATTGCTATCTCTTCAAGGGCCGACCTACTCTTGGGCACAGATCACCGTAAGTGCCTTTGCTGTTGTCTGTGTTTACTGTTTCTCCCTCTCTCCCTCTCCCTCTCTCCTTCTCTCTCTCTCTCTCTCTCCCTCCCTCCCTTCCTTCCTCCCTCCCTCCCTCCCTCTCTCTCTCTTTTTCCTTTTTGTTTTTTGGAGACAGGATTTCAGGATTTCTCTGTGTAGCCCTGGCTGTCCTGAAATTTACTCTAGCTAGTTGACCAGGCTAGCCTCAAACTCCAGTGAGATCCACCTGCCTGTGCCTTCACAGTGCCACCACGACTGGCTGTTTCCAGTGTGTGAGGCTGTACCCACTTTCCCCAGGCACCCCAACATGGATTTCTCAAAGGATACTGCCCTTGACCGTCCCTGGCTCGCAGTCATAGTCCCATTCTATTTTACTGATTTGGTGGTACAGCTGCGCCAAATACCTAGACAGAATGAGGGAAGGAGAGAAGACAGTCACCACACACCAGTGTCAACCATGCCAAGGGCAGGGCTCCAGGCCCAGGCTGCAGAACCTACACTGCAGAGGGGATGGTGACGGTGTTGTCCTCATCCACCTCTCTCTCCTGTCGCTCGAGATCTTTCTCCATCTCCCTGAGTTCCTGCAGCTCTGCGGTGAGCTGAGTGCAGTCAGTTAAGGCCGAGGCTCAGAGAGTAAGGACGATCATCTCACTACACACCGCCAGGCCAGAGCACCAAATGCTCAAGCACTGTCTTTCTATTTTTGTCCCTCAGTGTTAGGGACGAAAGCCAAGACCAGATACATGCTTAGGCAGGCTCTACCCACACACATCCCGGCCCCTCACTGGGGGATTCTAGGTAGGGCTCTAGCACTGACCCACACTCCACCTCACTGGGGGGATTCTAGACAGGGGCTTTAGCACTGACCCACACTCTACTTCACTGGGGGATTCTAGGCAGGGCTCTAACTGACCCACACTCCACCTCACTGGGAGATTCTAGACAGGGGCTCTAGCACTGAGCTACAGCCTAACCCAATTCAAGTGCGCTCTGACAGAGGCTGCTGGGCAGTTAAGGATATCACAGCCTGGCCTGCAGACAGGTATCCTCCTTGCTGGCCTTCTGGAGCTCGACTTCCAACTGCTGGAGCTCGGTGCCTCCCTGGCGCGTACATTCCTTCAAGTCAAGAAGGCTCTGAGCCACTTCCTCCTCCACAGCCAGAGTGTCTGCAATGAGACAGAAGCAGGTATCTTTCTCATTCAGTCAGCATCTGGGCCTCATCCCTACTCTGCCAGAATACAGACAGTACCGAGAATGGCAGTGAGTGTCTGTAATCCATTACTCAGGAAGATGCAGAGTTCACACCGGCTTAGGTTAAACTCAGACCGTATGCCAAAACCACAAAAACCAGTAACAGCCAGATGAGATGCTAACAAGGTTGATGGACTGAGTTCCATCCCTGGGACCCACGTGGTAGAGGGACAGGAGTGCCGTCTCTAAGTTGTCTACCATGCCTTCCTGTGTGGTGCTGGGGGTGGAAGTCAAGACTTTCTGTGTGCTGGGCAGGCATTTTACCCACTGAAGCAGCACTTGGTATCTTCTGTTTGAGAAGTAGTCTTATGTAGCTCAGGTTGGCGTCTTATCTCCAAGTGCTGGGAAGGTCGGGGTGCAGCTCCCTCACCAGCTTCTGTTATCTTTATGGTTTTCAGGGGGAGGGGGTGTTGAATGATAGGTTGAGGGTCTCACTATGATGTCCAGGTTGGCCGCAAACTCCTGGGTTCAAAGAATCCTTCTACCTTATCCTCCCAAGTTGCTCTACATAAGGAGGTCACAATGTATGGCCACTGAATTAATTATTTTATGGTACGGGTTTGAATTTAGAGCCTCACTCACAAATGCTAGGCAAGCCCTGTACTACCTACAAAGGAACCCCCCTTAAACAAATTGTGTGAGGTGGAACCTGGGTGAGGGTTTCTCTGTAGCTGATACTGACTAGAAATCCTGTGTAGCTGAGGTTAGCCTTGAATTCTCAGCAGCCTCTTGCTCCAGTCTCTCAAATTTTAAGATTACATGTTCACGCCACCAATGACTCATTCAAATAAGAAACAGCATGTCTGCGTGTGGAGGTCAGAGGGCAGGCTGCAGGAGTCAGCTCTATCACCACCGGCTCTCAGCAAACAAGATTGCCAGGCGGGCAGCACCCGTCTCTACCCACCGAGCCACCAGATTTTACTTCATCATTACTGCTTGCTCCAAGGCCTCAAGCAGCCACATGGTCTGAGCTAGTCCTAGCACTTTCTTGTTTTACTTTTGGCCTTTTGACACAGGCCTTGTGACTATCGGGCTGATTTGAATTCCTTCCAGTCTTTTATTCCTGACCCTCCTGCTTGTCTCTGGAACACTCGTCTGACAGGCCCCAACTGCTATGCCTGTTTAATGCAGCTCTGGGCATGGAACCCAGGGCCTCACGCATGCCAATCATGTGCTCCGCCGACTGAACCGCAGCCACTGCCCCTCCTGCTTGGGTTTTCAAAAGTTTACTTTACTTTTAATTCTTCACTGTGTGCATATGTGTGCCTGATGCCCATAGAGACCACAGTGTCAGATCTCTGAAAATGAAGTTCTGGTGGTTGTGAACTGCCTGACATGGATGCTGGGAACTGAACTCAGGTTCTCTTAACTGCTGAGTCTCCAGCCCCACCTAAAGCTCATGCTGGTACTCAAAGCACTCAGGCTCTCGGCCCTCTCAGCTGTTTTCTTGGGCACTGGCAAAACACTTCACTTATACCCTGTTCCTGGTAGTTTCTTTAGAGCAGGACTGAGGAAGGACCTCCAGTGCACATAGGACCTCCCAGCCCTTCTCTGACCTCCATTTTCCAGCTCTCTTGCTTGGCTGTTCTTCATAAGGTATGTATGAGTGACATTCACCAAGTATAGTATCCTGGATAAACTCTGGGTTCCCCTCACTCACTTGCAGGTGGGACTTGTGTGCAGTCCTACATGGCCTGGAGTTTGCTATATAGACTAGAACTGTATGTACTCTTTTCTGCTGAGCCATCTCTTTCTAGCCCTTCACATGACGTCAGTCTGTCTGTCTGTCGGTTTATTTGAAACAGAGTTCTTTTGTCTGTCCTGCCTGTCCAGGAACTCACTCTGTACACCAGGCTACCCTCACACTCAAGAGATCCACCTGCCTCTGCCTTCTTTTTTTTTTTTTTTTTTTTTTTTTTTTAAAGGTTTTTTTTTTTTTTTTTTTTACATTTACGTACACTGTAGCTGTCTTCAAACACCCTGTAAGAGGGCATCAGATCTTATTGTGGATGGTTGTGAGCCACCATGTGGTTGCTGGGATTTGAACTCATGACCTCTGGAAGAGCAGTCAGTGCTCTTAACCACTGAGCCATCTCACCAGTCCCTGCCTCTGCCTTCTAAGGGCTGGGATTAAAGAGGCATATGCCTGGCAGCACCACATTATGTTTTAAAACACCATGTCCCTGCACCCTCAACTCCTCCAGGTTTTCTCCACCATCTTTGCAGAAAGCCTTCCCCAGTCCCCACCCATGTCACCACTCCTAATGACAGAAACGACTTGTCTTGTCTCCTCAGCCCATCACTGCAGTACAAATGTTTATCCTGTCTCTTCTCAGTATGCCAGCCTCTAAGGGGCCTCTTCCCTGCAGTCACCCAAGGCCCAGTTCCCAGTAGGCTCTGTTCACAACAATCTATTGGGAAGGCACAAAATTTAGACCGCTCACACCTGTAACCACGGCACTGAAGAGCTGACAGGAAAAGATTCTTGGAATTTTTGCCACCCTCAGCTATAGAGTTCTATACTAGCCAGAGCTACATTTAAGACTGAGGGCTGGAGAGATGGCTCATTAATTAAGAGCACTGGCTGCTCTTCCAGAGGTCCTGAGTTCAAGTCCCAGCAACCACATGGTGGCTCACAACCATCTGTAATGGGATCCAATGCCCTCTTCTGGTGTGTCTGAAGACAGGGACATACACAAAATATGTACTCACATAGACAAAATAAATAATTCTTTGGGAAAAAAAAAAGACTGAGTCTTGGAAAGCTCATAAAGGGTCAGGCCCTGCCAACTTCTATATTTACTTTTAAGTCACTAGATGACAACGGTTTCACGAGTGGAGAAACCGAGGCTCGGAGGTGACGGCTCCCCCTCGGAAAACCCTCAAGAGCGAAGAGCAGGGGTGGGGCTGGGGGGGGGGGGATGGATCTTCCAAAGCAGCCTGAGCTACGGAGTAAGATCACGTAGAGTCGCGCACTGTGAGCTCCGACACTTATCCGGAGGCCTCTGGGCGATTGGCTATTGTCAGATGGGGAGAGTGAGGCCCAGGAGTGTCAGCTCCCACCGAGAAGTCTCCTGGGGCTGGAGCGCAGGGGCCCGGCCCTCACCACGAAGCTGCCGGTCGGCGTCGTCCTGCATCTCCAGCAGCCGCTCCACCATCTGCTCGTGACGCCCGAGCAGCCGCCGCTGCTGCGCCTCGGCGCGGTTAGCCCTCAGCAGGCTCACTAGCCCGTCGCTCACCTCCTCCATGTCGCGGAACGCCGCCATGACTATCCGCGCCGAGTGAACCCGCGCAAATTTGTCTCACGATGGTCCCCGCCCCCTTCCCAGAGCGCCTAAAGTTTCATTGGATCGTTCCTACGTCCGTCTTCTGCAGGACTCAATCAGCGAGGGGCCAGAGCGCTTGGGAAGGAGCGGCCATTTTGTAGCGAACCTGTGAGAAATTTCTTCTGTCACTCAGGTGTAAGGACCAATCATCGTAGGAAGGGGCGTGTCACGAGTGGCCCGTCTGCGTTTGACCTGGTACGCTTGCGTCAATTCGGGTATGAGCCCGGGGAGGGGCCACTTCGTTGCGATTCTGTTGCGCATGCGTAGACTGCAAAGTTGCCTGACCCTACAGAAGCTTGCAAGTATCAGTCACTGCTTTAGGGGCGAAGCAGCGGATGGCTTATTATTTTTGCTTGAGTGTTTTTTTTTTTTTAAAGTTTACTTTAGAAATATATTAACTATACATAAAAACTGGATTTATTAGTTTTTTGGGGGAGGGGGTCTGGGGGAATTTGGAATGTGTGTGAGCTGTTGAGATTTGTGTAGGCCTGGCTGTCCGGGAATTCGTTGTGTATACCAGGCTGGTCTCACACTTAGAGATCCATCTACCTCTGCCTCCTAGTGGTTGGATTACAGGCATGTGCCACCGTGATCGTCCACGTTTCTATAGATTTTTAGACTTATTTATCTTTATTTTATGGGTAAACGTTTTGCCTACATGTATGTATGTGTACAGTGTATTTGCCGGATGCTAGCTGAGGTCATAAAAGGGCGTCTGACCGCTTGGAACTAGACATGGATGGTTGTGAGCCATCAGGTGGGTGCTGGGAACCAAGCCTGATCCTCCACACCAACAGCCAATGCTCTTTATCACAGATACATTTCTCAGGCTCCTGCCTCTGTGTTTTTGAAATGTTTCAATGGAGGCCTGGTGTGGTAGTGTGTGCTTTTAATCCCAGTACTGGGAAGGCAGAGGCAGGCAGATCTCTGAGTTTGAGGCCAGCATGGTCTACAAATAGAGCTCCAGGACAGCCAGGATTATATAGAGACCTTGTCAAAAAAAAAAAAAAAAAGAACCAATAATAAAGTAAAATCTTTAAGCAGGAGTCTAGCATGTACCCCAGAACTCAGGTGGTGGGAGCTTGAGGTTAGAGGTGAATTCCAGGCCAGCCTGGGCAACAGGCTGAGGCTCTGTTCCAGCAAGAGCAGTGAACCCCGAAGTTGGGCATGGTGGCTCATACCTGGCATCTCAGGACTCTGGAAGTTAAGAAAGAGGAATTGACATTCTTGAAATTCCAACCTCCAGAGTTCAGAGTGAGTTCCAGACCAGCCTGAACTACAAAGTGAACCCCGTCTCCTTAAATAGCCACACCCCAGACAGACACAGACACTGACTCCCATAATCTGTTCTCTGACCTGCATATGCCTGTGGTGGCAATGAAGAGTATTTTTGAAAATCGGAAACCGTCAAATAGACAAAAACAGCAAGTGAAAATGAAAATTGGGGAGCGATGGTGGGGGGACAGGCAGGGAGGGCTGTTGGCAATCCGACTGCCTGGATGTGATCTGGGCCCCGAGCTCTCACAGTAGAAAGTGCCCTCTCCTCCTGGCAGCTGTGCTGTGTGGCTCTGTCAGGCCAGCCCTCCTTTGGCCTAACTCAGTAAATTGCATAACAGTGCAACTTTACAAGAAAGCCCAGACCTTGGGGCAGTGAGAGAATGCTTGCTTAGCACTCGGAGGCCTGAGTCAAGGCACTGGGGGTGGGGACCCAGGGTTCAGTTTCTAGCTGTGAAACTTGTGCCAGTGACCTTGGCAGGTTCCTACCAGATCTTTCTAAACATCCTGGGGCTAAAGATAGCCTATTCTTATCAGCAGGGGAGGGTCAGGAGGTAACTACTGGGATTGAGCAAGAGAGAACCCAGCAGACATAAGTGCGCCTGGCCCAAAGTGCCATCTAAGAGCAAAGGGTGTGCCACCTCACAGCCTGGTCAAAGCTTTTGTCCAAAAAGAGGCATATACCTGAAAAGACCTGGAAAGAAAAGTGCTGATTGCTGGGGACACAGAAGGGCTGGCACCCACTGAGGCTGCAAAGTGTCCAGGCAGGACTGGAGATAGTGCAGGTGCCTTAACAGAAATAAGAACACGGCTGAGGTGTGGGGAACGGCAGAGCACTTCCGAGCATACAGGGAGCACTAGGCTCAGTCCCCAGCTCTAAGGGAATCAGGTTCAGATTGATTGGTAACCCCAGCCCGTGCCTGTGCAGGTACAGGTAACAGACTCTCAAGATCAGCCTCAGCGCCGGGCGGTGGTGGCGCACGCCTTTAATCCCAGCACTTGGGAGGCAGAGGCAGGCGGATTTCTGAGTTCGAGGCCAGCCTGGTCTACCAAGTGAGTTCCAGGACAGCCAGAACTACACAGAGAAACCCTGTCTTGAAAAAAAAACCAAAAAAAAAAAAAAAAAAAAAAAAGATCAGCCTCAGCTAGGAATTGAGTTGAAGACAACCTGAGCTATAGGAGATCCTGTCTCAAAGCAGAAGGTGTGGGGTGGTTCATAGAGAGCTTGCCTGGCTTGCAGGACACCCTAGAGGGTTTGTCCCTAGTACTGCATGATTTGGGAGTGGTGGCACAGACAGGTCTACAGTCTCAACACTTAGGGAGTAGAGGCAGGAGTATCAAGACTTCAAGGTCATCCTTGACTATGAAATAAGTTTGGTGTTAGCTTGGGCTACACAAGACCCAGTCTTAAAAACCAAACAGAATAAACAGCCAGCCACCTTGGTACACCTTTATTTAATCTCAGCTAAGAGGTACAGGCAGGCAGATCTCTGAGTTCAAGGTCAGCTTGGTTTTCTTTGGGAGTTTGAGGCCAGGCAGGATTACATAGTGAGACCCTGTCCCAAAACAAAGCCAAAACTAATAAAACAAGAAACAGAACAAAAAGTGCTTGAGAGATGGCTCAGTGGTTAAGAACACTTTTTGCTCAACCAGAAAGCCTGAGGTTCAAATCCCAGCTCCCTTGTTGTGGTTCACAAACACTTGTAACTACAGCTCCAAAGGATCCCATGCCCTCTTCTGGTCTCCAAGGAGACCTGCATAAGCAAGAAAGTATATAGACACATGCACACACATACAAAAGAACCTTAAGCCGGGCTGTGGTGGCGCACGCCTTTAATCCCAGCACTTGGGAGGCAGAGGCGGATTTCTGAGTTCGAGGCCAGCCTGGTCTACAAAGTGAGTTCCAGGACAGCCAGGACTACACAGAGAGACCCTGTCTCGAAAAACCAAAAAAAAAAAAAAAAGAACCTTAAAGGGACAATAGCAATGGCTCAAGGACTAAGGAGGTGGCTCAGTGGATAAAGTGTATGGTGTGTGCAAGCAGGAGGACCCAAGTTCAAGCCCCATATCAAAGCCAGGCAGAGCAGACATGTTAATGTATGCCTTTAATTCTAGCACTTGTGGGATAAAGGTGAGAGACCAGACCAACTCCATCTTGGGTTCAGATTCCATCTTAGAAACTCTGACCTAAGGTTGAACTCGAGTTAACTAACAAGTCTGCATCCAGCACTAGTTTCCAGGTTACTCCCTAACAAGTCACTCCCTGACAACCAATCAGGAAGAAAGCAGAAGTAAAGTTTATGGTTTGGCTCCCAGCACCAGCCAATTATTTTAAAAGGCAACAAAATTCCATAATAGCCCCCCAACCAGGTGTGTGCCAGGCTAGAAACCCCCTTGCTTGTTTGCTCACCTCTATAAATGTTTGCTTGAAACTGAGCTGGGGCTTCCCCCTCCTGTCCTGCTGTGTCAGGGTGGTGGGTCCAAGTTCGAGCCTGAGTAAAAAGGCCCTGGCACGATTGCATAGGAATCAGCTCTGTGGTGGTTTTCTGGGGTCCATGAATGGGTACAACAAAGGCAGGAGGATACCGGTGAGTTTGAGGCTAGCCTGAGCTCTAGGGCAGCCAGGATTACATAGAGAGACTCTGTCTCAACAAACAAACAAATAACCAGGCAAGAAATATAGACCTGCACCCCAAGTACCAGGGGATGGGGGACAGGCAGCGTGCTCATTCAGTTTACAGAAAGAGTGAGCTTTCTGCTCAGAGGAGGCTGTGTATCAAGATAGAAGGCAGAGAGGTGGTTGAAATAAATACCTCTGCAAACACCTGTGTCAATCTCTGAGGTGACACAGACACACACAGAGGCCAAATACACAGGCACAGATACATAGAGACACACACATAGACACAAACAGGCACACACACAGACACATATATACACAGATTCAGGCACACATTCGCAGAGACACAGACACACACACAGGTACACACCCATACACAGAGACACAGACACACACCCATACGCAGAGACACACATACAGACACCCACACACAGGCACCCAGATACAGATACACACACACACACACACACACACACAACTGAACTCATTGGAGGTCTTTAGATGGCTCGGCTTCAGTAGCTGGGCCTGAGGCCTGGGGTTAGTGTTCAGTGGGGACAGAGTTTTGATTTTGCAAGCTGAGTAATTTTGGAGATGGTTACACAACACAGTGAACGAGCTAAATGCCACTGAACTAGGTACATTGAAATGGTGCAGGTGGTGGAACTGGGTCTCAGGGCAGAGCCCATATCCAGCTTGTGCGAGACCGTGTGCCACTTGCTCTCAGCACCAAAAGAAAAAATGAAATGGCCAATTTAATGATATGTGGATTTTATCCAATTATATATACATATGGACTTTTTCCATCTCATAAAAACTTTATGGGCTAGAGAGATGGCTCAGTGGTTAAAAGCACTTGTTCTTACAGAAGACCTGAGCACCCACCAGAGTTGGCATCTGACAACTGTCTGTAATTCTCACTCTGGGGGATCTGATGCCCTCTTCTGGCCTTCAGGGGTACCAGGCATACATGTGGTGCAGACACACAGAAAGACAAAACATTTATACACATAAAATAAATATTTAAAAGGTCTATCTACGTACATGGGTCCTTTGTCTGGATTTATATCTGTGCAATACATGCCTGCCTGGTACCCAGGAAGTCAGAGGCACTGGGATAGCTGTGGTTACAGGCAGTTTCAAGCTACCAGGTGGGTGCTGGGAACTGAACCCCGGGAGTATTCTGGAAGAGCAGCCAGTGTGTTTGTTTGTTTGTTTGTTTGTTTTAAAGGGGGCTGTGGAGCTGATGAGATGGCTCAGTGAGAAAAGGCACTTACCCCCAAGGTTGATGACCTGAGTTCAGTCTCTAGGGATCCCCTCCCCCCAGCCCCCCATGGAAGTAAAGGACTGACTCCTGGAGGTTGTCTTCTGCCCTCCACACCGAGTGACAGTGCAGCCACACAAAAACAAACAGATAATTACAGAAGGGCTGGGATGTGGCTCAACTGGCACAGCACTTGTCTAGCTCATTAAATCCTAGGGTCCATCCTTAGCTCCACCTTAACCAGACGAGGGTGAGGCTGGAGAGGTGGCTCAGTGGCTAAGAGCCTTGGTTGTTCTTGAAGAGGACCTGGGTTCAATTCCCAGCCCACAGATGTCTGTAACTCTAGTTCCTGGGGATGAGATGTCCTCTCCTCACTTCCAGGCACATGCACACACATCTGTGAGGATACACACACTCACACACACACACACACAAAAAACATTCACACACAAATAAAATAAGAAAATCTAAAAGTTCTTAAACTGTGGTGGTACAAACCTGAAGTCCCAGGACTCAGAGGTGAGGGCAGTTCAAGGTCACCCTGGACGACATGGTAAAGTTTGAGGCCGTCTTCAGCCACCTTACACTGTCTAAAAATGAATAGGGCTCTGGGTGAGGATGCATTGTGCAAGTACAAGGACCTGAGTTCAAATCTCCAGGATGTATGAGGGAACCAGACATGGTTGCACCAGTGCCTGTGTAGCCTGTCACCCCAGCACCATATAGAGTGTAGATACAGAGGAAAGAGTCTCACTGGCTCTTGCTGGCTGCCAGCCTAGCTCCAAGGTTCAGTGAGAGATCATATCCTAAAGGAATACATTCACACGCAAAATTAAAAAAAAAAATCAGAAATTAAAACATCCAGAGTAGTGGCCCATGCCTTTGGTCCCAGCAGGTAGAGGCAGGGAGATCTCTCTTTGAGTTCAAGGACTACTGAGTTCTGGACTACAGAATGAATTCCAGGACAGCCAGAGTTACATAGAGAAACCCTGTCTTAAAAAACAAAATAAAAAAAAAACCCAAAACAATAATCAGCATGAACCAGGGATCCTTACCTGGTGGTGCAGACTTGCCTGTAATCCCGATGCTTGAGTCTGAGGCAGGAGGGTCAGCAGTTCCAGGCTAGCCTAGACTACATGGGACTCTCTGTAGAGTAACCAAAATAAATGAATCAACAGAGTGGGGCTGGAGAGATGGCTCAGTGGTTAAGACTATGTGGCGTGCTGTTCTTTTCGAGGGCCCGAGTTCCATTCCCAGAATCTTGTGGAGCTGGTGGAAGTTCTTATTGTAAGAAGGCTGGGTCTCGAGAGGCTTCCTGACAGGTGCATGGCTCTGTTCCCTTGTGCACGCAATTGCTGCACAAAGTAGGAGTTAAGCAGCCAGAGATACAGGCTGAGGCTGGTGGCAGTGAGCTAGCAGGGTGCTTGCTTTGCTCGTCCAAGGCCAGGCTTTCATCCTCAGCGGGAAGTAAACCTGTCGAGGAGCCTATCATCCCAGCGTTTGGGAGATGGAAGCAGGACCAGGAGTTCAAGGTCATCCTTGGCTTTGTAGTGAGTGTGGGGCAAAGTGGGTTACATGAGACCTTGCCTCAAAAACAAAACACCATCATCACCATAGCAACCGCAAGACTTGCGTGGAAACGAGTGTTATGAACTTCAGATTTTTTTCAAATATTGGAATATTTTTACATAAATATTTTGGAGATAACACTAACACAGAATTTATTTACAGTTCTGTTGTCCTTGTTTATTCTGTTTGTTGAGACAGGGTTCCCTATGCCTGGGACTCAGAAGGTAGCTGAGGGATGACCTTGAATTTCAAACAGTCCTGACTTTACCTCCAGTATTGGGACATGTGCACGCCACTGTGTCTACCTCAGAGCTAGTTTTGTCTTTATCATTGTACCTGTGGGTGTGTACATGTGTGTGCAACAGTAGGCTAGAGGACAACATCAGGAGTCATTCTTAGGAAAGCTGTCCACCTTCCTTCAGACAGAATCTCTTACTGGCCTGGAACTTGCCAATTAGACTCTACCTGCTGGCTCTAGAGGTTTGGGGATGCTCCTGTCTCTCTCCTGGTGTTGGCAATGGAACTCAGGGCCCCAGGCTTGTGAAGCAAGCACCTTACTGAATGGGCACTCTCCAGGCCTTGGAGTTAATTTATTTTTTAGTTATTATCCTTTTCCCCTCCTTCCTTCTTTCCCTCCTTCCTTCATTCTTTCCTTCCTTTCCAGACAGGGCTTCCTCTTTGTAGTCTCGGCTGTCCTGTAACTCTCTCTGTAACCAGGCTGGTCTCGAACTTAGAGATCCACCAGCCTCTGCCTCCCAAGTGCAAGTGCTGGGATTAAAGGCATGCACCACCACACCTGGCTATTACTGTTTTTTTGAGGCAGGGTTTCTCTGTGTAGCCCTGGTTGTCCTGAAACTCATTCTGTAGACCATGCTGGTGTCAAGCTCAGAGATCTGCCTGTCTCTGCCTCTGAAGTGCTGGTATTAAAGGTGTGCACATCCACTGCCCCCAGAAGATTTAATTTTTTTCTGTACAGGTGTTTCTTCTGCATGTATGTCTGTCTATGCATCATATGCATGCAGGGTGCCTGCAGAGGCCGTAAGAGAGCATCAGATCTCCAGAAACTAGAGTTATAGGTGGTTGTGAGCCACCGTGTGGTTGCTGGGAATTGAAACCAGGTGCTCTGGAAGAGCAGCCAGTGCTCGTAACTGCTGAGCCATCTCTCCAGCTCCTCTGGTCTATTTTTTAAAAGCTTAAATACTACAAGATAGGTGGCTCTGGCCTGTCTTCCTGCCTGTCTACTGTCCACTAGACACCTCTACCTCTTTTCCCAGGTCCTCCTCACTCCTTTCCCTTCCTCCAATAAACAACCTTTCTAACAGAAGAAAAAAAAAAGGTCTAGGGTATGGCTCAGTGGCACAGCACTTGCCTGGTGTGTACAAGGCCTGGGTTCAATCCCCAGAGCTGCAACACACCAAGTATGGCAGGAGACAACACAGTTAGAGGCTGGGGGCACGGCTCAGTTAGTGGAGCCTAGCATGCACAACACATTGGGTTACATCAGCAGCATCAAATACACCAGATGGTAAGGGAAGGTAGAAGGATCAGAAGTTCAAGGCTTGCCTAAAAGGAAGGGGAACAGACAGACACACGGCATTGGCTTTGTTTGTAGCTTTATTAAGTCCTTTTACTTTTTAAAACATGATTACAAGAAAAGAACACTTCATTTACGTGTAACACTGTCTTCATGGACGTACCGTGGTCACAAAGTAGAAATAAAAGTCGAGTATACAGGAAAGGAGAGGACAGAGTGGTGTTTGGCCCTGGTGACCCCCACACAGAGACACAGAAAGCAACAGCGGCAGAAACAGACGGGGCTTTTCTGAGGAACATGTGCTTTGGGGTCATAGCTGATGCATTCAGAACCTTAAACTCCCTTGCTGGCTACAAGGCTGGAACCCAGGGCTCAGCTCAGAGCTCAGCCTTTCAAATGCGCCCTAGGCCGTGAGCATCAGGAGACACCAGCAGCTGCCCTGAAGTCTGGTCTTCTGTTTTATACACGTGCAAAGACTCCTTCATAACATCCATCCACCAGTCCACCCAGCTTTTCATCTATCACTCACTTACTCATCCAGCCACCCCACATTCATCCGTCCATGGACTCATCTACCCATCCATCAAGTACCCAGCCACCTACTCATGTATCCACCCACCCATCCACCCACTCATCCGTCCATGCATCTATCCATCCACCCACCCATCCATCCATCTGTCCGTCTCATTTTCTCATGCCAACCAAGCCTCTAGCCTTAGACAAACCCCTTCTACAAAACTCAAGCGGAGTAAGGCTCCATCCAACCAAGAGATCTACTTGTCTAGAAGAGAAGGGAAGAACTCTGCCCTGCTGAGGTTTGGCTCCAAGGCCCAGTGGGTCCAGCTGTGACCTGGATAACACAGGGACACTGGAAAGGATGTGTTCTCCCCGATTGCAAGGCACATCTAGAAGCTGTTTCGTTTTTCTTCTTTATGAAGAAAAGAAAGAAAAAACCAACAAAATCCCCCCCCCCAAAAAAAACACACTGAGATTCTGAGGACAGAAAGGAAACTCAGTAAGAGAAAAGTGCAGCCTGTCTGTACCCTGTCACCAGCAGAAGCTCTAGGGCATTAAAAACAAACACACAAACATAAAACTACTCATTTGTCCCTTTGGATTTCAGCAAAGCCTGTCACTTTAAGCTAGTTCTGGGAGTGTTCTGAGGCCAGCCAGCTCTTAATCAGGAACACATGGGCTTCCGAGTGAGCGCGCCTGTACTTGGTCAGTATCACATCCTCTGTTTACTCTCCTTCCAGGAGGGAGGTTCTGGGCTGTGATGCTGGGAGCCACTCTGGAATGGCCTTTTTTGTTTTTTCTCTGTAGGTCTGAAAGTTTTTCTAGCAGTATTCTCCGGTCCCAAACCCTCCTTGTGAGGAACAGGGAGGTCTGCATAACTTCTCCTTGTAAGTTGGACATTTCCAAGTCATAGGACCCACCAGAACATCAGCTGTTGGGTGACAAGTGTGTGTGTGTCTGTGACTGTGTGTGTGCATGTGTGTGTGTGTGTGTGTGTGTGTGTGTGAGAGAGAGAGAGAAAGAGAGAGAGAGAGAGAGAGAGAGAGAGAGAGAGAGAGAGAGAGAGAGAGAGAGAGAGAGAGAAGGGGAAAAGACAAATGAAAAAAGCCACTGCTTTCTGGCTAGAGACAATCACAAGAGACACCCCTGGCCCTAAAGAAACTGTCTGGAGGTGGAGGGCAGTGGACAAAACCCTATTGTACACTAGACAATGGAATGAGGTGACAAAGGGTGTTGAGCCAGCTTTGTGGAGACCTGCTGGAGTGATGAGGGGACAAAGGACATTGTAACATTCCAGTGACATTCAAATTTAGCAACTGAATTCTGACCCCTCCCATGCCCGAACAATGACTCAAGAATACAGTATTTTCCCTCTTGCCCCCACTCCTCCCATAATTGCCGGCTGATTGTTCTCTGTGTTCTTCATAAGAAACCCACACCCGGGAGACATCTACTGGCGCCGACTGGGAGGAGAATGTAGTTTGGCTTTCTGGCTTTGAATGTGGCTTTGAACCCAGGGAGCTGGGAAAGGCCTCCTGGAGCTGGAGTCTGGTGGATGTCAGAGCTCCCTCAGGGAAGTGCAGGGGGTTTGCCTTGGAGAGCTGGGACAGAGGGAGGGACGGTTTGCAGTGTGGCTTGTGGCTGATGGGTCCTGGAGGACTCACTGGCTCCTCCCTGTATTCACTCCTCAGCTGAAGATGAAGCTGGACTCTCATAGTCTGACATGGGAGCGAACTGTAAGGAGAGGCAGAATTCTTTCTTGGCATATTTGCAAATCCCTCTGAGGAGGAGATCTGCTAAGGATGCAGAGGGAAGGAGGGCAGTCTCTGCCTTCCGACAAAACGAGACACAATGACAGACTGTCACCCTGTCCTTGCAGGGAGAAGGCATTCGGGAAGGAATCAAAGTAGAGCCCCAGGACAAGAGAGGGTGACCCCTGTACCAGGTCAAAGAGGGCGCCTAGAAGAAGGGCTATCCAAGCTGGGGAAGGGCAAGGGTAGATGTTCTAGAGAAAGGACTGGAGGGGCTTGAGAAAGTCTGTCATGTGATCCCAGCTACTTAGTTTACTGAGGCAGTGTCCCACTCCCCCCTCCATATGTAAACACAAACATGATAGGCTGTCACAATGTAGTCCTGACTTGCCAAAACCCATAACCCAGCTGGAGGTGGATCATAATATAGTCAAATATACTTACCTTGAAAAGCAAACAAAACCAAAAATAATGTTTTAGGCAATCAAATGTTAATGCAGAGGGTTCAAGAGAGGACGCTGCTCCTGCTGCTAAGTTATAACCCTGGCCCTCTCTCACTGGAGGATTCGAGGTAGGGGTCTACCCTGAGCTCCAGCCCCCCTTTTCCTTTTGAGATAAGTCTTACTTCGTTGCCCAGGCTGGCCTTAAACTTTAGTCCTGGCTGGAGTGGACCCTGCCTAGTCATCCAACCCCAAAGCTCCTTTGAGTCCCACCCCCTTGTTGGGGGATCTGGACTCACCGAGCACTTGATGTTCATGCGTGAGTACAGCATAGACGCGATCTCGCTCTGCCCAGCATCCAGGGCCACCATCAATGCTGTGCTCCCATCCTGTAAAGTACGCACAGCTCTAGTGATGCCCTGTGTGCAGCCCGCCTTCCCTGGGGAGCATGGGGTGGGGACTCACGCGGTCGGTCAGTGAGATGTCACAGCTAGGCACAGCCAGCAGGAGCCCGGTGATCTCCTTGTGCCCGTGCTCACACGCACACATCAGGGCCGTGGAGCCATCCTCATCCTGAATGTTCACGTCCACCTCACAGGCCAACAACGCCTTCACCACGTCCACCCGCCCGTGGCTGACAGCCAGCATCAGGGCTGTCTGTCCTGCCTGAGACGACAGAATACGGCTGTAGTATAGAGGCCTGGTGGCATCATACCCCTGCTTTCGGACATCCCATGGCTCCCGAGTGCTCTGATATTGAGTGGGTGCACATGTTGGCCCCACCTTCCCTTGGCTCCTTCTCTTCCCTCAGTATAAACTGGTTTTCTTCAGAAGGGCTAGCCTGGTTCTATCCAGAAGGGATATCCTGGATCTATCTACCTACTATGAGCTCCCAACTCATAGGTGGATAATTATGTAAAACACTTATCAGAGCTAAGTAAAACAGAAACAAAAGCATACCCAACTAAGATCTGGATACATTCCTCTGTACTAGTTCCACCCAAATAAAGAGTTAAAAACTGATGATTACCAGAGGATGAATAGACAAAGCAAACCACGTCAAGTCATACAGCAGGATACTACCCAGCCATGTAAAGAAACGCTATTCAGAACACTGATGGGTACTCTAACTTGTAAAAACTTTGAGTGGAAAGCCAGACACACACACACACAACCACTGATTCTGTGTGTGTGTTTATTTTGGGTATTAGTGCCTCACTGTAGAGTCCCCAAAATGAATGGGAATCTGTGACCCTTTTGTCTTCTTGAGCACTTTGATTCACATTTAGAGGGACTATAACTCCATTTATTTATTTAGTTAGTTAGTTTTTTTCCGAGACCGGGTTTCTCTGTGTAGCCCTGGCTGTCCTGGAACTCACTCTGTAGACCAGGCTGGCCTCAAACTCAGAAATCCACCTGCCTCTGCCTCCCAAGTGCTGGGATTAAAGGCGTGCGCCACCACCGCCCGGCTTGTAACTCCATTTATAAGACATGTCCAGTAAGTCCAGAGCCAGCAGGGCCCTGGGAGAGTGTGCCAGTGAGTGCAGGGGTTTCTTCATTATTATTGTTATTATTATTTAATAGGCAGGTTTCACTTAGCCCAGGCTGGCCCAGAACCTGCTATGGCTGAAGATGACACTGATCCCTGTATTACTGCCTCTGTCTCCTAAGTTCTGGGATTATAGGCATGTGTCACCTATGTAGACAGAAGGAACATGTAGAACCATGAAAGGCAGCCTCGTTTCTGGTCGAGCACCAGCTAGAAACCAACAGAGACCCTGCAGGGTCCCCTGCAAGGAACAGCAGGCATGTCACCTCGCTCCCAGACTCTAGGCTCCTGACACGAGGCCGCAGCCCTCCATAGATTTGTGTCCTTTAGTCACATAGGGCAATGCTTCCTATCCCCCTCCACAGGCAGAAGGCTTGACCACAGCCTCAAGACAGATCTCCATATTAATGAGGCACCTAAAGGCCAGAGGGGCGTAGCCAATTAAGCATTCCTTCCCAGGCCCTCCTTCCTGCAAAAGGTATTTAATCTTAGGCCCGCCCTAAAAAAACTGTTGTACAGATTTTTCATTTACTTTCCGCCATGACAATAAACATCGTAAAACCATGGACTGTTTCTTTTTCATTGGGATCTGATGTGGGGAACAGTGGAGCAGGTTTTCACCCACAGAAGGCCTCTCTGCGATCCTAGCCACTGTGACCACCAAGTGAGACTCTCATCCCCTGGTATCACAGGGCCTCATGTTTAGGGTCTGTTGGGACAGTTCAGGCCAGCCCGGGTGATTCAGTGAGACCCTATCAAATTACATGTAAGAAGAGGGCTGTGGGCTAGAGAGGTGGCTCAGTGATATAGAGCACACACTGCTCTTGCAGAGGTTTGGTTCCCTGCACCCACATGTGTCTCTCAGTCACCTGCTGTGTCAGTCCCTGGGGATCTGATGCCCTCCTCTTATGGACACATACAAGCAGGCAAAACACAGCCAGCATCTCCGTGCAGGTCTTTAATTCCAGCGCAGAGGCAGAGGCAGAGAGGCAGAGAGGCAGAGAGGCAGAGAGGCAGAGAGGCA